TAAGTCCGTTTTTTGTCCTCATCAGGCTCCAGAGACTTTCTAGGAGCCTGGGGAGGGCAAAAACAGCCTCCCCCCCTGGGAGGCCCTCTGGAGGCCGGAAACAGCCCATTTTCCGACTTCCGGTGGGTCCACAAGGCCCGAAAATCAGCTGGCCAGCGCGCACATGAATGCTGAAGATGAGCTAGGGCAACGCTTGCGTGCCTACAGATACGGCTCTGCGTGCCACCTGTGGCAAACGTACCATAGGTTCGCCATCACGGGTATAGACAGTGGAAGCCATGAACTTTATACACCAGTGTTCTTTTTAACCTTTTCGTTGAGTGATTTAATAGACACCATTTTAAGAATAATTCTAATTCCTTCTGTCTTCAGCCTGCTGTAGCTCACCATATGAATATGGTTCTCTCAGTCCTTTGAGGTGCAACCCAACTTACACCAGCAGTTCATCAGTCAGAAATTCAAACAGTGGTCAGGGAACCATGCAGAATTATGATAGCTATCTCCTAGTATCCGAAAGGATATCATGTACAAGATGAGGAAGAAATGTTGGTGTTGCTGTAAGAAGGAAGGGAAAAATGGATCTAACTTAGAAGGAAGTAGATTTTGATCAATAGTGAAACAGACTTCCCTAAAAGGTGGTGACCATCCTCCAGTTATGTGATAGCAATAGCCCTTAGACTTATATACTTATAAGTCTTACAGAGTCTTATATATAGACTTATATACCACCTCACAGTGCTTTACAACCCTCTCTAAGCGGTTTATAGAGTCAGCATATTGCCCCCAACAATCTGGGTCCTCATTTTATCGACCTCGGAAGGATGGAAGCCTGAGCAACTTTGAGCATGGTGAGATTCGATCTGCCGAACTGTTGGCAGCTGGCAATCAGCAGTTTTATGACCTTTTTTTGCAATGGTCATTAAGCAATTCACCACAGTTGTTAAGTGATTTACGTGGTTAAGTGAATCCAGCTTTCCCCACTGACTTCTGCTTCTCAGAAGTTGGCTGGGAAGGTTGCAAACGGGGATCACACCACCCCAGGATGCTGCAACCATTTGTAAATGCCGGTTAAATAAATTTTGATTATGTGACCGTGATTATGTCATAAGCGCAAGCACTGGTCATAAGTTACTTTTTCTTTCAATGTTGTAACTTTGAACAGTCGCTAAATTAATAGTTGTAAGTTGAGGACTACCTGTACTTTTTAATCGTAGGCAAGATAGATGGCACAATGGGTGGCACAAAACTGGGCAAGGTGATGAGTGAGAACCGAAGAAGCTTCTTGGATGAGAAGTGAAACGTCTTCAAGGAATAAAAACCAGAAAAAGTCTAGTTGCTTTTGAAAAAGTACCTTTTTGATAAAGAGATCATGTGGTCCTCAGTGTGGAATTCTGTCTCCTACTTAACTCCCAGTTGTTTCTTCTTAGGATTCTAATTATGCAGTTCAATTATGGGCATTGGATTTCAAGAGGCATGATTAAAATTCACTGCAAGTGGCTGGGGAAATTAGAATTCCCAGATGTGGGTTTGTTTATTATTTTAATCTTCAGTATGTGCATAGTAGATCATTAGTGTGTATAGAGAGAAAAATCACAGTTATTAGCTTTTCCTTTGGTAAGGGAATACAAAATAAGATTTTATTTTTCATTCTATTTTGGGAGGTGTACCCCAGGGTTTCAAAAATTTTTACTACTGGTTCTGTGGGTGTGGCTTGGTGGGTGTGGCATGGCTTGGTGGGTGTGGCTTGGTGGGCGTGGCAGGGGATGTAAAATCTCCATTTCCTCTCCACTCCAGGGGAAGGTTACTGCAAAATCCCCATTTCCTCCCGATCAGCTGGGATTTGGGAGGCAGAGAATAGATGGGGGTGGGGCCAGTCAGAATTTTTACTACTGGTTCTCCAAACTACTCAAAATTCCCACTACTGATTCTCCAGAACTGGTTAGAACCTGCTAAAACCCATCTCTGCTCACAGCACCAGAAACCTCAGAAAACAGTGCCAAGAGATTCAAGCCAGCCCTTTCCCCTTTAAGAAAACCAAGAAGCACCAGCTGAAAGAAAAACACAGAGCAGCCCTGTAACAGAGCTGACAATAGAAATACTTAAGTAGAGCCATTAAGATAAGGGGAATCAGACTAAAAATAATTCACCTGGAAATCCCCTTTTCCCCTTTCCTGGCAGAATTAACCCCCAGGATAGGAAAGACAGAACCCCAGGAACATGATTAAACCATTTTTTTTAAAAATTTGATTTATATGCCGCCCTTCTCCGAAGACTCAGGGCGGCTTACAATGTGCTCAGCAATAGCCTTCATCCTTTTGTATATTTATACAAAGTCATCTTATTGCCCCCACAACTGGGTCCTCAATTTACCTACCTTAGAAAGGATGGAAGGCTGAGTCAACCTTGAGCCTTGGCAAGATTCGAACCCTGCAGTAATTGCAGGCAGCTGTTCTTAATAACCAGCTTAATAACAGTGTGCCTTAAACCCCTGTACTACCAAGGCTCATTAAGGTAGGAAGGCAGAATTCAGAGCAATTACCTTAACTAAAGGCACATACAAAATCTCATCAAATCACACCAACTTCAAAGGGAAGATGGGTATAAAAATCCATACCCTTATCAGGCCACCTTGCTTGCAAGCCAGGAACGCTCCAGCTGCGTCACTACTTTTCTTGCCTTCCTGAATTAAAGGATCCCTTTTCTGGCAGCTGCTTCCATGTCTATTTCTTCTCAGCATCGGTGACTGCTTCCCAGCTGGGACCGAACCAGGGAAATTCCTTCCAACACTATTCCCCTCTAAGAATTAAAAGGCATTTTTTATTGGGAGTTAGCCCCAGAATCAGCAAGCTACTTCATTCATGATCTGCTTTCTTCCACTGATACCTAATGGAAACTCATGAGTCGAACTGGCATATAGTTCTAGGATTTTACAACAGTGCATTTTTTATTTCATAGCAAGGCAGAATGAACAATTTTCTGAAGCAATTGTTCCTAGCTGGCCAGTCTAACCAATAGAAAATAGCTAAAGAAACCCGGAAGCTTAAATTTTGGTTACTGAGAAGGACCAGTTGGGATATGGGAACCCTTAATAGGCCAGAATAAGAAGTCATGGTTTATTCTTGTGTAGGAAGTTAGCACTCACCCCTCTCCTAGAAAAATGAAATATTTTAGGACCGTGATGGCGAACCTATGGCACGCGTGTCACAGGTGGCACATGGAGCCATATCGGTGGGCACGCGAGCTCTGCTCCAGCGCACATGCACATGCTGGCCAGCTGATTTTCGGGCCTTTTGGTCCCATTGGAAGTCAGCAAACAGGCCGTTTCTGGCCTCTGGGAGGGGGCGGGGAGGCCATTTTTGCCCTCCCCAGGCTCCTAGAAGCCTCTGGTGCCTGGAAAGGGCAAAAAACAGGCCTACCGGGCCCACTGTGCCATCACGTGCCAAAAGTGTGGGAGCGTGGGAGGTTGCGTGCACATGCACGGGGGGGCTGGGGCACATAGAATTATGGGTGTGAGCACGCGGGTGCGTGACCCCCCCCCACTCCCCCCCCTTCTGGCACATGATGGCAAAAAGGTTAGCCATCATTGTTTTAGGATATACTAAAAAGGCAGAATATGTTCCCTAAAAGAGAAGTAGAAACTCAGAGAAGCAGAAACTCAGTCCCCCACTTTTGTCAATGGGCCATTAAGGCCTGAGCCAGTCTATTCTACATAACAAAGATCTACCTCCTTCAGGCAGAGCCATTTAATTGCCCTTTATTGCACCACCCACCAAGTTTCAACCAAACTTGGCACACAGACAGTCTAAAAGGCTAGCTATGACCTCTGGCAGCAATCAATCAGGAATACCCTTCCTGTGCCCCAGGAAGTTCAAAGCCAGAGACGGCATAAAACCAAGGCACGCTCAGCATCTCTGCCCGCTTTTTCTGTTCAGGAACTCAAACCATGTGATCCTGTCCACCATTAAACCATCTTTCCAAGCATTCTCCATGTTTCCAGTGTCTTTTTCCCCACTTGGAGCTGAACCCAGAAGGATATTTCTTCCTACACTTGGTTTCTGTTTGTTGACTTTTGGGGGAAATAAGAAGGCTGGCCCCTAGCAGAAAGAGCTAATCGGGAGCAATCAACTATTAATCTATTAAAATTCTTGTGAGTACAGGTAGTTCTCAACTTACAACCAATCATTTAGTGACCATTCGAAGTTACAAACGGCACTGAAAAAAGTGACTTAGGACTATTTTTTAGACTTAGGACCATTGCAGCATCCCCATGGTCATGTGATCAAAACTCAGATGCTTGGCCACTGGTTCATATTTATGGCAGTTGCAGTGTCCCGGGATAGTGCGATCACCTTATGCAACCTTCTGACCAGTGGTGGGTTGCTACTGGTTCACCCCGGATCAGGCGAACCGGTAGCAACAGCAGCGGGAGGCTCCGCCCACCTACCTGGATGCTTCTGTGCAAGCAAGCGCGCACCCACCAGCAAACCAGTAGCGACGGGTTTTGAAACCCGCTTCTGCTTCTTACTAACAAAACCATGTTACTGATTTAACCACTGCAGCGATTCACTTAACAACTGCGACAAGAAAGGTTGTAAAATGGGGCGAAGCTCACTTGACAACTGTCTTGCTTAGCAGTAGAAACTTTGCACTCAATTCCGGTCGTACGTCGAGGATTATCTGTATTAGCGACGTATTAAAATCCTTGTGAGCAACTGGGTTTCTGTGACATGCAAATCTAGCCTTTATATCTTCCTTCTGGAACAATAGTTACCTTGTTTTCATCTCTGCTTTTTGAGATTTTTTTTGGCTCGGATGTACCAGGTTGGAGTCATTTAACTTAGTTGACACTATTATTAATCGTGAATAGGTTTCTTTGTGGGGAGGGGACATGGTGTTCTGGTCTTTTTGGAAGGGATCATATTTTTTCCCAATGCCAAGGTATTTCATGATTTTTTTAAAAAACGGACTGGATGGGGCTGTTCTGTTGTTTCTTTGACCAGGCCAGATAGCTGACGCTCAGGGCACAGAAGAGCCTGATTTATACCATGGTTGTTTGGAAGGAAGCTGTTACCCAGCCACAGGAAACCTGCTCATTGGGAGGACCCAAAACCTGAGCGCTACATCAACATGCGGCCTGGAAGAGCCTCAGGAGTATTGCATTGTCAGCCATCTTCAGGTAACACTGGTTGAGAACTTGTGAACTCATGCTGGCTGGGGAATTCTGGGAATTGAAGTCCACCAGTCTTAAAGTTACCATGTTTGGAGACCCCTGGACTAGAGTTGCCTGTAACGCACACCATGAAGGTCATTGAAGGTACGTGCCTTGCTTTTGTATATTTAAACCAGAATGGTTCTTTTGATAGGACTCTGAGAAATGCTTCATTTGTGACTCACGCTCAGCCTCTTTCCGTGAGAGCCACCACATTGAGAATGTCATCTACCTTACTGGGCAGAATGGTGAACAGACCTGGTGGCAGTCTGAGAATGGTAAGAATGAGAAATTTGGAAGTTTTGGAAGCTAATTTCATCTTCATTGGTTCCAGATGTCCAGCAACTCCCCAAAATTACATATCTCCAGAGATCTTGTTGGTCTCCAACAAGACATTTTTCATCATTAGTTTTGCCAGATCTTGGCTGACCACAGCTGACCTCTATATCGGCACCACTATATTTGCTGCCACCTAGTGGTCTCTCAGACTTTTGAAGTCCAGATCTGATAGTCGTATTGTATTTTTCATGAATTGAAAAAGAGAGATTGTGCAAAAGAGAATGCCTGGCCCAAGATCACCAGCTGGCTTTGTGCCTCAGGTGAGACTAGACCTCACAGTTTCCAAGTTTCTAGCCCGATGCCTAAACCACTACATGAAATGGAGTCTCTGTTCCAAATACTGCGGAACTGCAATTACCAGTATCAATCATCATTGGCTAAGCTGGAACTATAGGGAACTACCGTATTTTTCAGAGTATAAGACGCACCATTTCCCCCCCAAAAAGAAGGTGAAAATCTGGGTGTGTCTTATACTCCAAATGTAGCCCCGCCCAGCCTCAAGATTTCAGAGGCTGAAAGAAGCCTCTGAAAGAACCTTCAGAAAAAAAGCCTCTGAAAGGCTTTTATCTAAAATAATATGGCAAGCAACAAAAGAAGAATCCGTAAAGGTTCTAATCAAAATATGTTAACAAATCTGGAGAATGACACAATAACCAACAGATTGGAAGAGGTTAATCTACATACCAATACCAAAGAAAGGAGATTGAACAGAGTACAGATAGTCCTTCAGAATAAAAGCCTCTGAAAGAAGCTTCAGAAAAAAAGCCTTTTTTTCTGAAGCTCTGTTTCCAAGGCTTTCAGAGGCAGAAAAAAAAGATTTTTTCTGAAACTGAGTTTCAGAAATTTCAGAGGCAGAAAAAAAAGCAAGGCACAGAGCTTACAACCAACAAACCTGTTGCTAAAATTCACCTCTGGAAACAGCTGATTGGGGGTATTCCGGGAGGCCGATCCACCCACCAATCAGCTTTTTTCTTATTTTCCTCCCCAAAAACTAAGGTGCGTCTTATACTCCAGTGCGTCTTATACTCTGAAAAATACGGTATACTTTAGGAGTCAAATCAATGTGATGCCATGGTTAAGAAGTTGAACTAGGATCAGGTCAAGTCCAATTACAACAGTGAGAATATTTTGAGCCAATTGTTCTCTCTCTCTTCACCCAATCTATGTTACAAGATTTAAGCTGTGAGAATAAAATGAATGGACATCTTCAAAGAAACTGCTTTGAGGAAAAGCAGAGTATAAATTTAACACACATTGATTATGTGCCAGTAAATGGTTTCAACTCTTAACAATCACATAGATAGACATTCTCCAGAATGCTGATTCCTGTGGTCTCATATTGAACAATGTTTTTGCAAGTTTGAAGCCTTATAGAGAATATTACAGAAACTAGAGCAGAGTACTAGAAAAATTAATGTATCTGCAGCTTTATGAGACTATTTTTTCCAGACCCCCAGAAGAAAATCTGATCATAGCCTGAGACATTAAATCAAGGCATACAAGTAAGAATTGAGAATGATGCTGTTGTACCTTATGATTCTTGATGAACTTATCTTTTCTTTTATGTACACTGAGAGCATATGCATCAAGACAAATTCCTTGTGTGTCCAATCACACTTGGCCAATAAAAAATTCTATTCTATTCTATTCTAGGCTTCCTGAGTCATTAAAACACACGAGTAGTCCCAAAAACCTCTTTTATTGCAACAGCTGTGAATTACGTTCATTCACAGCTGAGTCCCAATTAGTTGCAAAAAAATCCTTCAGGAGAAGTCCTTTGGGATAATCACCAACCTTTATCTTCCTTGACACACTGCCAAAGACCTACTTGGCAAAGCCACACAGAGTCCAGAATCAAACAGAGATGCCGACTGGGAACAGAATTAACAACATTGCTTTCCTGCAAAGGGCCCACATGCCTTTGCTCCTCTTTTAAGCCTTATGGGAGGGGCCAATCATCTCCAGGCCTTACTCCCGAGTCATCCCTTTAGTTTTAACTGTTCTTGCCTTCTGGCAACTCTGCACATGCGTGCACTAGGAACAGGCTCCTCCTGTTCCTCTGCCTCTCTGATGTCCGACTCTGGAGGCTCCGGAGTCCGCGTATCGCTTCCAGATGGCCCTGGCCCCATCTCTGCTTCCAACACAAAGCCCTCGTCCGAGCCTTCCCCAGACTCCAGGACTGGCCCATGTTCCTCCCCAGCCTCCTCACTGTCCGACTCCACTGCCAGCTCCGCAGGCTGCTGGCGGACCACAACAGATGCTTGGTGGCATCATCCTTTGTATCTTGGACACTTTGTCTTTCAGAATGTGATATATGATGAGAGATATCTCAAAACTTTATGGAGGATTTTTTTCTCTCCATACATAACCAGAAGAAATGGAGACACGTTATCTAAATTCAGCTTTTTTGCTGCGTTCTTGTCATTCTGCTGTGCTGTCCTCTTTGGGTTAGAAGTTGCATGTTTGCTGAAGAGAACCTGATTCTTGGAATCTCCACACACAATTTGGAATCCTGAATGATGAAGGTTCTCAGTCACGTGGGAAGCTGCCATGACAGATTAGACTTCCTACTGCACCCACTTCACCCTTCAATTCAGGAAGACTAACGAATGGAGGGGAGTTAGAAAAAGGATGGTGGTACTAGATAGCAAGTCCCTGCTTTCTTGAGCATTACAAGATATCAAGTCTTCTTGAGCAGAGTTCTTGAGAAAGGTCTAATTTTTGTCTTTTGTCCCTCTCCAGGTGTAGAGCAGGTCAGCATTCGATTGGACCTGGAAGCTGAATTCCACTTTACTCACCTCATAATGAAATTTAAGGTACTGTACTGAAGATCTATGAATCGGCAGATACAATAGAGGATATTAGATGTTTTGCCTTCACAGGAAGTACAAAAAGTATCTGATGAAAGTATTGCATAGTTATATTTTTTGATATTTCTTTTTAAAAAATTGTGTGTAAATTAATGTGCTTTTCTGCAAATACTTAGGTGTCTGGCTGGGCCAATTTAAGTTTGTGCCAATGGAGGATTTCCTCTCTTTTTTAGAGAAATGATTTTCATAAAAACCCCAACGAGCAGGGAAGAGTTTAAAGATCTCCCTGCCTGCTGCGCACTTGATTATTATTCCACACATCCATTCCCAGTGGCTATTTGCATTTGTGAAACTCATACATGTTAATACAATAATATATTTAACCTTTAAGTTGGCAATCAAATGTTACCCAGCACAGCAGGAATGTCTGTTTTTAATCTAGGCTGAGTGTATCATGAAGTGCACCACAAAGCACTACATGCCTATTCTGCACTCATGTCCTCATTACTTCCTTCCTTAGTTGAATAAAATTTTCCCAAATATGTTTTACTCACAAAAACTAGGGCGGTCTTCCCCCCCCCCCCAACTTGATTCGTGGGGTCCTTGGTGGTTTCTGGGCTTGATTGTTTTCTTGCTAGACATTTCATTATCCAGCTAGGTAACATCATCAGTGCTAGAAGGGTGTGGGGTTTACTCTCTTTATATACAAGTGGCTTGCCCTATGAGTGTTAGTGGGAGTGTTCTTGGTGGTTCCTTGATTAAGTTGTTGCTTATGATTTGATTGTTTGTCTCATTTGGTAGTTCTTTGATTGGGGTTGTTGTTGTTAGTTGCGAAGTCGTGTCCGACCCATTGCGACCCCATGGACAACGTTCCTCCAGGCCTTTCTGTCCTCTACCATCCTCTGGAGTCCATTTAAGTTCACACCTGCTGCTTCAGTGACTCCATCCAGCCACCTCGTTCTCTGTCATCCCATTCTTCTTTTGCCCTCCATCTTTCCCAGTGTTAAGCTCTTCTCCAGTGAGTCCTTCCTTCTCATTAGGTGGCCAAAGTATTTGAGTTTCATCTTCAGGATCTGGCCTTCTAAAGAGCAGTCAGGATCAATCTCCTCTAGGACTGATCAGTTTGATCGCCTTGCAGTCCAAGGGACTCGCAGGAGTCTTCTCCAGCACCATAGTTCAAAGGCCTCAATTCTTTGGCGCTCAGCCTTCCTTATGGTCCAACTTTCACAGCCATACATTGCAACTGGGAAAACCATAGCCTTGACTATATGCACTTTTGTTGGCAGGGTGATGTCTCTGCTTTTTAGTAAGCTATCTAGATTTGCCATAGATTTCCTCCCCAGGAGCAAGTATCTTTTAATTTCTTGGCTGCAGTCCCCATCTGCGGTAATCTTGGAGCCCAGGATTGGGGTATTGTTTGCTTCTTGATTGTTGGTCTTGTATTAATCTTGGTGTTAATTTCTGATTATCTGGGTGTTGATTGCTGGTGAGGCGGTGTTTGGTCTTTTTAAAAATTTATTTATTACATTTCTATGCCGCCCACCTTCCCTACAAGGTGACTCTAGGTGGCTTTTATGCTTCCTTTTAGCTTTTGATTACCTCTTTTGAAGGGTATATGGATGTTATTTATCTCTAGAATCAACTTGATTCTTCTCAGATTTGTTGGACCACAGCTCCATCACTTCAAGTCAGTCACCATGCTGTCTTGGGTTGCCGGGATTTGCATTCCAGAGATTCTCAGCCTCAGAATAAGCTACCTTTAGTAAGCTTAAGTAAGCTTACCTTTAGTAAGCTACCTTTAGTAAGCTGGTACTTGAAGAACCAGCTTACTAAGGGATCCTCTAGTCTCATCCATGAGTAGCACAAATGATGTTGACATAATTTTGCTCTTTTCCTGTGACCGATCTCAGCAGTGCTTCGTTTCAGTGAGTGAAACTATCCTAACAATTCATTGCAGGGTTTGTTAGTGCAAAATTGGTGGATTTCTCTAGATGCGGCTGAAACATCCATATGTTGCTCCCCCAAGCAGATCTGGGACTATGGGAGGAGATATCCTATATCAGAGGGCTAGATGGGTCTAGTCATCAATCGAAACTTGATTGGGGGTGGGGGTGAGCAGTAAAACACAACAGGCTCTTCCCTTCTATTTACTGGGACTCCCTGAATCACTGCAGCACCTGATCCAAAAAAGTGTTGTAAGTCAAATTAACACTCAGCCCTCTGGGACATATCCTGTAGGTATTCCACAGATGGAAATATGTAAGAAAAGTGCTGGTAAAATAAAAATGTGTGATATTCTTAAACCAGTCATGGAAATTCTTCCATAATAACATGGAAACTTACTGTATTACGTAGAAATTGAATGAATGAATGAATGAATGAATGAATGAAAGAAAGAATGAATGGAAGAAGAAAGAAAGAAAGAAAGAAAGAAAGAAAGAAAGAAAGAAAGAAAGAAAGAAAGAAAGAAAGAAAGAAATATACAGAGGGTCTGAGAGGAAAAAAGTGAAAATCAAACTTGAATCTAGAAAAGTCAGTCTCTTTTGTTCCCAAATATCTGATTTGTTCTGACCTAGGCTTCCTTAGAAAGCATGAAGCAAAGTCTTAATTCCAGCCAAACCTCTTTTATTTAAATGACTGTGAATTACTGTCATTCACAGTCAACAAGGCTTTGGCAAACAGTCTTTCAGAGGAATGTTTATCAACACCCACCGTATCTCACTTGGAACGCTGACAGAGAACCAATTTCCAAATGCAGGGCAAGGCCAAACTTGGCACAGAATTCTATTAGAGTCACGAACAGAACTTTCCAAACTTGAATCGACCAAATGAACTAATTGCTTCCTGCAAAAGCCCATGTCCCGTTCGCTCCTCTTTTATGTCCTCTCGGAGGGGCCAATTATCTCCAACGTGTGGCCTTACTCCCAAGTCGACCCTGCTTTCTTAATTGTTCTTGTCTTCTGGCAGCTCTGGGCATGCGCACACTGGGAACGGGCTCCAGCTGTTCCTCTACCTCACTGCTGTCTATCTCCCTCTCTGCCTCCGACGCAGAGCCCTCGTCTGAGCTTTCCCCAGCTCCCAGGACTGGCCCAAGTTCCTCCCCAACCTCCTCACTGTCTGACTCTGCTGCCAGCTCTGCTGGCCACCAGCGGGCCACAACATGACTTGCTTTGGTATTCATGTATGTTTTGGACATTTTAATTTAGAGATCATCTCTTAAGGGAAATTAGCTAGAATTGTGACAAATGTTCTCCAGCTAACTCTTCTCTTCCTTCTCTTTCAGACTTTCCGTCCAGCAGCAATGCTCATTGAACGTTCATCAGATTTTGGGCAAAGCTGGAAAGTTTATCGCTACTTTGCCTTCAATTGCTCCAAGCTCTTCCCAGCTGTTCCTACTCAGATCCCAACACATGTCAATCAAGCAATGTGCGACGAGCGATACTCTGAGATTGAGCCCTCCAGCTATGGTGAAGTCAGTGCTATTCTATGGCAGTAGAATGAAATGCAATTGGCAATTGTCACTTGGAATTGTATCTCTGTAATTATATGAACAACCTGGGGAAGATAAGCAGGCAGTCTTTATTTACTCGAGCAGATTTAAATCTCTTCCCCAAATTCACCACTGTTTTCTATTCAGCTCTAGCAACACAAGCTGATTCATAGCTCAGTTTGTCTCTCTGGACTAAGATTAATGGATACAGATAGATACTTGGCTCTGAGAAAGGGCTAAAATCTGATAGCAAACATAATTTGCAGGCGGGATATCCTAGATTTAATTTAGGTAAGAAGTGGGAAGGTTTTTAAGATGGCTGCCTGTCAGAGTGGATAATACAGAGTGGAGAAAAAGTAATGATCTGATTCATTGTAATATAGTTTACTGTGTTCACTGAATAGAAAGATCAATGTGACATTCAAATTAATTTTTAAACAGCAGAAAGGAATGCAAAATCTCAAGTTCTGAGTATGAATGCAGACAGCCACAATTGTTGAAATGAACTTGGAAAGCAGTAAAATCTAGTTAGGTTTTTGAGATGCATCTCTCGGGGCTAACTGGATGAGGTCGAGTCTTAAAATGTTATCAAACAGTAGCCATGGGAATACTGAATTTAAATTGGGAGTATGACTCTGAAGGAATTGGTTTCATCTGGTTTGTAAGAACCCCTTCTTAAGTCCTTACACAGATAGTCCTTGAATTACAACCCCTACTGAATCCCAAATTTCTGTTGCTAAGTGAAGGATTTGTTAAGTGAGTTTTGCCCCATTTTTAACCTTTCTTGCCACAGTTTATAGTGAACTAGCTGATAACCCGGCGTTGCCCGGGTATTTATTTATCCCAATCCTGTATTAGTCAGGAAAAGGACTGGCTCAACCATTGCGGTGAGAATTAGAGACCTAATTGCCCTGGCAACAGCCTGGGAAAAATTCTACAGGGATCAGCCTTTGAGGTGATTATCTGCATTTACAGGCACCTCCCCCAACAACTTGCCCTCTTTGCTTGAAACTGAGGGTCTAGGGTGTTTGGGTTTTTTTTAAAAAAACCAATCTCCCTTACCAGAGGTAGCCCCCTTGTGGAGTACTGTGAAGCTGTTACCATGGCAACTGCACTGTGCTGTACAGTAGAAGCCATTTTAAGGCACAACAGGCTGTATCTTAACAGAAGTTGAATCCAAAATGCACATAGATATAATTCATTCCTTTTCATTTCAGCGGCCCAGGCATTCCAGAATTATACTGGAACATACACAGACACAGACACACTGACACACACACACCAAGGGGTGTCAGGGGTGTCTTACCCCCACATTATTTCTTTCCAGAGAGTAAGTCATCTGTGTACCAAGTTTGGTTGAAATTGCTCAAGGCGTTCCAGAGTTATGCTGGAACACACACACACACACACACACACACACACACACACACACACACACACGAGACAGAGCCATTTTTATATACTGTATATAGATCGTTGAAATTTTTAATAACACAGTTGTTAACTGCATCTGGCTTCCCCATTGACTTTGCTTGTCAGAAGTTCACAAAAGATGATCACACGACCCTGGGACACTGCAACCATCATAAGTATGAGTCAGTTGCCAAGTGTCTGAATTTTGATCATGTGATCACAAGGATGCTTGTCATTTTTTAGTGCATTGGTAACTTTGAACGATCACTCAATGAACTGTTTTAGGGTGTGTCAAATTTTTCGACTTTCAATTTCCAAACATTAGAGGTGCTCAAAAGTTGTGACATGCCTTAAAGATATTTTGCTGTTTGCTGCTGGCCGCCGCCAGACGTTCCTTTGGGATCGTCAGCTTCCACTGCCTGTCAGAGCCGCCTTCACAACGGAACGGCGGCTCGAAAAAACTCCGTTCCCATGAGGAAACGGAGATAGAGCCGGCAGGGGTGGGTAGAACTCTCTGCAGAGTCCCAAAAGTTTTTCTTTTACTTTTGGGATGGAGCGGATGAGATGCCCCATATCCCCAGCCGCTGCTCCGGGCTTTGGGAGACCTCTGCTAATGCAGAGCCAGGCGTCAAAAGCAAGCCTGCGAATTTGACAGATTACTCAAAGAAAATGTGAGCTGGACCTGTAATACTGAAGCGCAAGTATTTTACTTATCTTTTAAAAATTACTTAAGAGAATAGAGGAAGAGAAAGAGGAAAAAAGTTTCTTTTTAAAATGGCGTCTGCCGCGGCTGGAGAAGAGTTTGAGAGGGAAAGTTCTTCCGTTTTTTATTATTACAATGTAGCGGAATAAATACCACTGGCTACATTTGTAGACAAAACTCCGCTCCTGTTTTTGTTTTTCTCTTTTTCCCCTGGAGGCATTGTTGCTGGCTGGAAGTCTTTTGTCTTGTTTTTTTTTTTTTTTTTTTTTCTTCTAACAAAGCCTGCTTAGGCGGAAACATGGCACTGAGGCTTGTGAAGTCAGACAAACAAATAGGTGGGGGGGATTCCCCCACTAAGAATTTAAAGGAACAAGTTTTAACTCTTCAGTCCCAGAAACCTGATTTTAATATAATAGAATTTCTCTTAGAGGAGATTGAAAGAAGGGATGAGATTGTGAATCAGCAACTTGAAAAATTTAAGCAGGAAACTAAGGAATTGGTGAAATCCAAGTTTGACTTTTTGCAGCAAAAAATTTTAAAAGTGTCAGAATTCATGATTCGGTTGGATACAAATACTAATTTACTAGAGTCAAAAATGGATGAAATTCAAGATAAATTGGACAATAGAATTCAAAAAATTGAAAATGATTTGTTAAATATTCAGGATTATAGTTCAGAAGAAAAATTTAAAATGGATGCTGACCAAAAGTCTGGTAATGTAGAAAATCTGCAACAGAGGATTGAAAAAGAGGTTCTAAAGATACAATATAATTTCACAGAATATGCAATAAGACTTAGAGGTTTGCAGGAAAATAACAGAGATGACTTAAGGAAAATATCTTCTGAATTTCTAGCTGGGATTTTAAAGATTCAACCTGAGGAAGTGTTTTGTAGGATTGACAGAGCTTATCGAATAAACTCCTGGACTGCCAAGCAAAGGCAATTGCCTAGAGATGTGGTAATCTATTTTTCAGATAAAGAAATTAGGAATAAAATTGTGCAAAATTCCTTCAATTCTAATTTGCAATTGTATGGAAGAAAGATTTGGATTTACAAGGAACTCCCACCTAAGATATTAATGGAAAGGAAGAAATTTGGCTTTCTGGTGTCTGAGTTAAAAAGGAGAAATATTCAATTCCGGTGGGACGTCCCAGTTGGTATTATACTGAGATATCAAGGAGAAAGATACCAGTTAAATACTGTTGAAAGAGCGGAAGAATTTTATCAAAATAGGTTGAAAATGAATTTAACGTCTTCAGATATAATACAGGATAAGCAGAAGGAGCTGGAACTAAAGACAGAGACTGTACCAGATAAATTGCCTTTGGATTTATCGGATACCCCAGCTGGATTATCTACAAATTTGAGAGAAGTGCCATCTGATTTTAATGTGATGACTTATCAAGGCAAGGACAAGCATGGAAACCAATTAGAGGATATACAAGGGATAAAAAAGAAACGCGAGACACAAAAAATTAGGATGGAAGTCAAACCCACAAAAAGAAAACAAAAAAAGAAATAGGTTGTACAAAAATAGAAATTTCTAACCCAAGCAACAGTGAAGCCAGTGATTTTAAAATATGAATGATTATGTGAAAACATAGAGGAGGCGACATATTGGTCAATATCATCCTGAGGATAGTGGCAGATCTCTGCATTGCCGTAATTTTGGGACATGGAAAGAGCCTCAAATTGATGGTTTTGAATTATCTACTTTGAAACTTCTTTTTGTGTTGATAAATATATTATAATTATCTTGAATTATAAGGCAAGAGAATCACATTGGGACATGCAGAAGATCGGGTTGTTACCCAATACGATGATGGAAATTAATAATCCTGATGAAACCCACAATTATTATTATATGGAATATAATTATAATGTCACTCGGGTGGTTGTTTTTACTTTTATATATATAAGAAGATGTTTACTACTGATGGGGGCAGATATGATTGGAGATCTTGAATAAACTGTTGCATCAGCAAGCCATGTTACCCTATTATGGATGTTGGTTTTAACAATCCAGTGGAAAGACTTCAAGAAGATATTATATGGACTATAAATTTAAAGTTATTGTCTTTTCTTTTTTTATTTAGATATAATGGAATATATATATATATATATATTTAAGTAGTGTGGGCAGTGAATTAAAGATATCAAGAATTGTTGTGTATGGTAAATTTGTAAGACAGTGGGTGAATAAGCTAGCTACAGACTGATTAGTTTAAGAAAAGGGATTTTTAAGTGATACATTTAGGGGAGTGGAGGAAATGGATAGAGTGGAATAAATGTTAAATTAGATTTTATGGGGAGCCCGCTTTGAAATGTTATTAAAGTAGGACTTATCGTATAGTTTTAAAGTGGAAGGTGGTTTTGAATTGTTGCAATAATGTATAGATATAAAACACTATTATGCTAAATTAGAAGTTATTTTATAATAGTTATAGTATAATGTGTTTGTTTTTTTTTTTGTTTTTTTTCTCTTCTTCTTTTCTGAAATGTATGGATAAAGGGGGATTTATAATATTTTTAGTAAGTAAAGGTCAGTATTTTGAGGAGGGAGTAAGTAATCTGTTATGAATTAGGGTTTTTTTTTGTTACGAAGAAGTCACAGGGGGGGAAGGGTGGGGGGGGGGGGTTAGGGAGGGGGGAGGGGGGGGAAAAAGGGGGAAAAATTTGTATTTGAAAACCTTTTTAATAAAAAAAAAAAAAAAAAAAAGTTGTGACATGCCTTAAAGATATTTTGGTTACTTTAATATAATTTAGATGTGCTTGGTAAGTAACCTGGTAAGTATAAATGTCATAACTTTTGTAACATTTTGTTTCATTTGTTGTAAATCAAGGACTACCTGTATAGATTGCAGCTAAGCCAGAATGGGACAAGAGATGCAGTGGCTCAGTGGCTAGGACGCTGAGCTTGTCGATCGAAAGGTTGGCATCTCAGTGGTTCGAATCCCTAGTGTCGCGTAACAGAGTGAGCTTCTGCCAACCTAGCAGTTCGAAAGCATGTAAAAAATGCAAGTAGAAAAATAGGGACCACATTTGGTGGGAAGGTAACAACGTTCCATGCGTCTTTGGTGTTTAGTCATGCCTGCCACATGACCACGGAGATGTCTTCGGACAGCACTGGCTCTTCAACTTTGAAACAGAGATGAGCACTGCCCCCTAGAGTCAGGAACGACTAGCACATACGAGGGGAACCTTTACCTTTAAGCCAGAATGTCACATTTTTCTTGCTCCTCATCTAGGAAGAGCAGGACAGAGCAGATCTGACAGGTGCAAATGGTCCTTGGTTTATGACTATAATTGAGCCTGGAACATTGCATCATTAAGCGAGTCACCATGTGACCAGCCCTAATTTATACAACATATTTGTGACAGTCGTTAAAAGAATGCAATGGTAATTATATTAATCTACTTTATCAAAGTGAATTGATCTACTTTATCAGTTTTTGATGGAACCAAAAGTAAATGCTGGAAACCAGCAAAACCCATCAAAAATAGTGATCACATGACCACAGCATGTTACAAAGTGCCGTAAAGGTTGCCAACCATCCAAAATGTGAGAATGAAACTGAAGGGTGTTTGTTTACGGCTGTCATAACATTCAAAATCAGGTCATAAGTAGCTTGTGGGGAGTCTGTTAAAAGTCAAAGGTTACCTGCAGTAGGTTTTGGATACATGACTATAACCCTGACAGAATTGGGCACCAAGTTTTTATGTTGAATTACCGTATCAACAATGTTAAAAGAAAGTGCAAGTTAAAATAAGAAAAAAATATTCTAAGCCTTCATAGTTTCCCTATCCACATGCCAGAGAGATATCAAGGAATTTCTCCTGATATCTTCAGTTCTAAGTAAAGCAGCTGGGACCGAATCTCTTAGGCTTTTCATATCAAAATATGCTATTCAGCACAACCTTAATTCTTTACATGGGAGATTTTTTTCCCCCCTCATCTCAAAACTCCTGTATTTCTCAAGGGCTCCTTTTAACTTTAGCTCAGTTGTCTTTTTTTAGGGCAGATTCCTGAATTTGTAATATTAAGGTGATGGGAAAGATCAGCCTTCTTTGAAGTTTGGTGCCTTGTGGTACCACTAAATATGAGAAGAACCCCTTTCATAGCGACAGTGTTATGACATGCTGTTGTAACACAGCTTTTAAAAAGATGCCTTCTCTGTGTTTATGTAGTTTATTCACTACTTTGGACTACTCTCTTATTTTGAAGGATTAACATGATTAATTATTATTAGACCCAGTCTCACTCTTTTTTTCCTTGGACATTGATCTTGCAAACTCAATGACTTTACAGGTTGTCCTTGACTTACGACTGATTGCATAAATTACCATTTGAGGTTACAATAAACTTCAAAAAAAGCTACTTATGACCCATCCTGAAGGTTACAACTGCTACACACACACACACACACACACACACACACACACACACACACACACACACACACACCATGGGCACATGATCTCATTTCAGGTGCTTACATTTAAGACTGGTTGCAGTGTCCTATGTTTATGTGACTGTGATTTTTGATTTTTTTGCTGTCAGAAAACAGGAAAAAACACCCATCGGCTATGCCGGGGTTTGCTTAATGATCGCATGTTTCACTTAACAACCATGGTGGCTTGCTTTCCAACCCTTGTAAAAGCGGTCATAAAATTGACTAGACTTACGACTGCAACAACTTATGATCAAAATTCCAGCCTCAGTTGTGGTCGTAAGTCGAAGTCTACCTGTATGCTCTTAGGAAGTCAGGGAAAAGTTAGATGTATCTTTTAACTTCTCTCTGCAGGTCATTTTCAAGGTACTAGATCCAGCTGTGAAAGTAGAAGATCCCTACAGCCAGGAAATCCAAGGTATGGCTTCCACGGGAAGTAAGGAAGAGACTGCTTCCGAGAATTGAAAAGAAATGTTGCCAAGGATTAAAATATGTTGCCAAGGCTTTAGATATTGACACAGAGCAGGGGTGAAATGCTCCCGGTTTCGACCGGATAGCCCGATCCAGTAGCGATGGAGGCGGGTGGTTTGGAGAACCAGTAGCAAAAATCCCTGCCCCCGCCCCATGCCCAGCTGAGCCACGCAATCATCAGAGGCTTTTTTTTTTTTTACTTTTAAAAGCATTTTTTCTACAACCTCTTTGGCCAAAAAAATGCTTTTAAAAGTAAAAAAAAAAAGCCTCTGATGATCGCGCGTCTCAGCTGGGATTGTCAAAGGCTTTTAAAAGAAAAAAAACCCCTTTTTTTTCTTTTAAATGCCTCTGACGATCCCAGCTGAGTTGCCTGATCGGCAGAGGCTTTTTAAAAAACTCAGCTTGGATCGTCAGAGGCATTTAAAAGAAAAAAAAACTTTTTTTCTTTTAAATGCCTCTGACGATCCCAGCTGAGTTGCCTGATCGTCAGAGGCTTTTTAAAAAACTCAGCTTGGATCGTCAGAGGCATTTAAAAGAAAAAAAAAACTTTTTTTCTTTTAAATGCCTCTGACGATCCCAGCTGAGTTGCCTGATCGTCAGAGGCTTTTTAAAAAAGCCTCTGCTGGGATCGTCAGAGCCTTTTGAAAGCATTTTTTTACAACCTCTTCAACGAAGAGGTTGTAGAAAAAATGGTTTTAAAAGTAAAAAAAAAAATTGGCCATGCCCACCCAGTCACATTACCCCCCAAGCCACGCCCACAGAACCAGTAGTAACAAATTTTAGATTTCTCCACTGACACAGAGTCATGCTTGCAATAGTGGCGAAAATCTGTAGCTCGAGTGAGGGATAAGGGTGGAGATTTGTTCTTCGAGCTTATGGGTTGGTTTCCAAATGTTTCATTACCAGGCTACATCAGTGATGGGTTGCCTCCGGTTTGGACCGGTTCACAAGAACCGGTAGTAAAACTGGCGGAAGGCTTCGCCTACCGCCCCGGATGTCATCATAGGCGATCTGCGCATGCGCAGAAGCTCAATGCACACACAAACTAAGCCAGCATGTGTGTGCGATCCCGTTGCGAACCGGTAGTAAAGGTAAGTAGAACCCACCCCTGGGCTACATCATATCTTCAATGGAATCTAGGGAACAGAACAGAATTTCCCTAATTTCCACTGAAGATGTTACCTAGCCTGGTAATGAAATGTTCGGAAACCAATCCGCAAGCTCAGAGAACAAACCTCCACCCTCACAGAGTCAGTCATGCCCCAAACAAGCAAATATGGGAACGAGTGGTAAGGGTATAGAGGACTTTTTAATAAAGAAAAGGCATTATGAGGAAGATCACTGTAATGAAGTGTTGGCGAACGTTTTCAGCACTGAGTGACAAAATGGGAGAGCGTGCATGTGTGCGTGTGCACACACGTGCCGGAAACCGGAAGACCAGCCTCCTGGTGCGCATGCATGCACCGGGAAGATGACCTTCCAGTTTCCTGCGCGTGCATGCACACTGGCAACCTGGTCTTCCCATTTCTGGCACTCGTGTGTGCAAAGGCCAGCTGGCTAGTGCGCATGTGTGCACCGGAAACCAGAATGTCATCTTCCCAGCACGCACACGTGCACCAGGCAGCTGCTCTTCCAGTTTCCTGTGTTCCCGCGTGTGTGAAGACCAGCTGACAGGCACACCGGAACCCGGAAGTACAACGGGAGATGGCTCATGTACCCGGAGAGATGGCTCTGTGTGCCACTTCCGGCACGCGTGCCATAGGTTTGCCATCACGGCTGTAGTGGAATGTGAGAATGACCTTGGTAGATGGGAGGAAAGAGATGCTGCCTAGGGAACAATTAGATAAAAGAGGGCGGAGCCCACAACTGAGTACTGGGCGGAGAAAGAAACTTAAGAGAGGATCCACCCTAAGTAATCAGGCAGTAAAAAGAGACGGTGGGAGATTTGTACTTTCAGACTTGCAAGATTCTACCAATGTAGCCTTATAATCAGTGGTGGGATTCAGGCAGTTTGCACCACTTCGGGAGAACCGGTTGTTAACTTTCTGAGCAGTTTGGTGAACTGGTTGTTGGAAGAAATCATTAGGGCAGAGAACGGTTGTTAAATTATTTGAATCCCACCACTGCTTATAATAAAATCAAATTAGCTCACCATGTCCTGTTTCCACTCTGGTCGACTTGGGAGGCTGACCGCCATCTCAAATTGGATTGACATTCAGGTTAATTTAACAGGGCTTATTGTAGGTTATGATAACACAGTCCTCTATATGCCAGTTTTTCAGTTTACTTTTTTATTTATAAAATTTATAGGCTGCCCATCTCAGCTCAAGGTATCCTCCAGATGTGTTGGACAATCACACCCTGTGGGAATGTGATGGGAATGTTTATCCAACACTTTGGAAGAGATACATTTGGGAAAAGGTGGTAGTTATCTTATTGTGCTTCCTGCCTGATAACCATGACCATAAAAAGAAGGAGGGAGAAAAGCAAGAAGATAGAAAGGGGGGGAGGCTGAAGAGTCTGTAAAAGCTAAACTACTGCTCCAACAATTCCCTCTCTTGCCTAGATTTGTTACGTGTCACCAACTTGCGGGTGAACTTCACAAAGCTGCATACCCTGGGAGACAACCTGTTAGACTCACGACACCAAGTATTGCAGAAATACTACTATGCGGTGTATGAGATGGTGCTTCGAGGGAGCTGCTTCTGTTATGGACATGCCTCCGAATGTGCTCCTTTTACAGGATCAACTAACCTGGTTGAAGGCATGGTAAGTTGCTCAGTGGGAGGCAAGGAGAAGATCAGGGTGATGAGAAATGGGTAACCACGTGAAGTTTATGTGACCTTAGCTTGTATCAGGAGTCCTCTGCACCTACTCTAGGAATTCATGCTCACTTTAAAAAATACCTCTATGCTGGGAGATGCTCTCAATTCAAATCTTTATTGGCAGTGCACAACATATGTACAATGAGATTGGTTGAGGTCCCTCAGTGCACCCCCCCCCCCCACACACAATACAACTCACAGTGAAGACAGAAAATCCCTAACCCAATAAATCATATTAACAATCACCCAGTCCTATTGCACCAGTGTGAACATGTTACATGTTGCGCCGGCCCTGCAAGTCCATCGTACTACGTAGTTATGATGTTATTTCGCATTCAGGAGTCTCTCGCTAATTGGCGTGAAAGGCCTTGTAAATCTATTTTATTTGTCTCCTCTGTTCCAGATCCATGGACGATGTGTCTGTAAGCACCACACTAAAGGTCTCAACTGTGAGTTCTGCAAGGATTTCTATCAGGACTTGCCCTGGAGTCCAGCTGAGGTCCACAATCCACATGCTTGCAAAGGTGTGAGTTGAAGGCTATATGCCATTGTGCTTACATGGAGCAGTCAGGGATTGCACACTAAACCAGTGGGGAGTCATTGCAGGAAGATCAGTCTGTGATGCACATGGTGTTCTGCCCCAGCTATGGACCCCAAAGAACGCAGCACACACAAAATCTATACAAAGCTTATTTTACTCAAATAACTCAGTCTTTTTCAACCAAAAACAAAATACAAGAATTCTAAGATAAGGTAATCACAGTCTTACTAGGGTTGGCAGAAAGCCCAGAAGCAATTTTGCAGAGAATCCAGACGTGAAAGAGAATGAACTAAAGTTGTTCCCTACAGCTTGCTGCAATTGGTGTTCCTCCTTAAATAGGCTAAGGGAGTGGCCAATTAGCCCCAAGCCTTACTCTCGAGGAGACCTCCTCCTGAGGAGCCACTCCTGCCTTTTGGCAGCTCTGCGTGCCTCCTCTTCGTCCTCTTCACTTAAAGGAGCTTCTGGAGGTTCTGAAGGCCCTGGCTGAATCCCTGCCTCTGGCCCCACATCTTCTCCAGCCTCCTCACTGTCTGACTAGAGTGCCAGCTGCACAGGCTGCTGGCGCAGCACCACACCAGCCTCCTCGTTGTCAGAATCAGCTATAATCTGCACAGGCCGCTGACGGGCCACAACACATGGTAACATCACTGGCTTTGTGGTGGTTGCATAGCCAAGACCACAAGCCCTGGAAAAGTTTAATCATGGATGTACTTACTGATTTATTAAACCGTTCAGGAAGTTTTTGACTTGAAACTACAATTGGGAGTAGAATTTCCATTGCTAAGCAATAGCAATAGCTATTTTACCGCTTCATAGTGCTTTACAATCTTCTCTAAGCGGTTTACAGTGTCAGCGTATTTCCCCCAACAATCGGGGTCCTCATTTTACCCACCTTGGAGGGATGGAAGGCTGAGTCAACCTTGAGCCTGGTGAGATTCGATCTTCCAAACTGCTGGCAGCCGGTGACCAGCAGAAGTAGCCTGCAGTACTACACTCTAACCACTGCGCCACCGTGGCTCTTAGCAAGGGGGTTGTTACCTCAATCATGTCCAATTTTATAATCTTTTTATCCACAATTGTTAAGAGAATCATTGCAATTGTTTTGGGAGTTGTTAAGTGAACCATGCAGTTGTTAAGTGAATCTGGCTTCCCCCATTGACTTCACTGATCGGAAGCCAGATGGGGAAGATCGCAAATGGTGACCCACAAGACATTGCAACCTTCGTAAATACATACCCTTTGCCAAGTGCCTGAATTTCGATCATGCAGCTGAGATGGTCATAAGTGCAAGGACTGGATTGTAAGTCACTTTTTTCAGTGCCGTTATAACTTTGAATGGTCAGTAACGAATGGTTGTAAATCAAGGTCTACCTGTACAGGTAATGGCTGTTCAAAGTTACAAGGGCACTGAAAAAAGCGACTTATGACCGTTTTTCACAATTACAATCTTTGCAGCATTCCCATGGTCCATGATCAAAATTCAGATGCTTGGCAATTGGTTCGTACTTATAGCAATAGCACTTAGACTTATATACTGCTTCACAGTGTTTTTACAGCCCTCTCTAAGCGGTTTACAGAGTCAGCATAATTGCCTCCAACAATCTGGCTCCTCATTTTACCCACCTCGGAAGGATGGAAGGCTGAGTCAACCTTGAGCCTGGTGAGATTTGATCTGCCAAACTGCTGGCAGCCGGTGATCAGGAGAAGTAGCCTGCACTACCGCACTCTAACCACTGTGCCACCGCGGCTCATTATGACCATTGCAGGGTTGTGTGATCGCCTTTTGCAGCCTTTTGACAAGCAAAGTCAGTGAGGAAGCCAGATTCACTTAACAACCAGGTCACTAACTTATCAACTGGAGTGAGTCACTTCACAGCTGTGGCAAGAAAGATCGTAAAACAGGGCAAAACTCGCTTAACAAATTTCTCACTTAACAAAAGACATTTCGGGCTCAATTTTGGTCGTAAGTCGAGGACCACCTGTATGCTATCCTGAATCACACATCTAGTCAAGATCCAGGCAGAGAGCCTCCTCTTTCAGATGGCCATCCAATCCCACTGCAGAAACTCCTGAAGCTTTCTCCACTCCGGTTGAGGGCTCCTTTCTCTTGGCTGCCTTGCTTCTTTGTGATACTCCTTGGGAGGATCCTGTGAGAGCACCACAATTGTCATGACTTGAGTCCATTTAGGATCCCATCTTTCAGGGGAGATGATAGTCTGTGTCACTGTTTATTTAGCCGCTACTGGAATAAGATCCGCGGTTAAAAAGTTAGAGTGCAGTACTGCAGGCTATTTCTTCTGACTGCTGGCTGCCTGCAATTTGGCAGTTTGAATCCCACCAGGCTCAAGGTTGACTCAGCCTTCCATCCTTCCGAGGTCGGTAAAATGAGGAGTCAGATTGTTGGGGGCAATAGGCTGACTCTGTAAACCGCTTAAATAGGGCTGTAAAAGCACTATGAAGCGGTATATAAGTCTAAGTGCTATTTCTATAAGTATTGCTAGATCAGGGGGTTATCTTGGGTGGTACCCATGGAGGAGAATGGACACGAGCGGGATGCAGGCCACTGAACCACTTTCCTGTCTTCTCTCCAGAGTGCAACTGCAACGAACACTCCCACCGGTGCCACTTTGACATAGCCGTCTACCTGGCTACAGGTAACTCCAGCGGTGGGGTCTGTGATGAGTGCCAGCACAACACCATGGGCCGCCACTGCCAGAGCTGCAAGCCGTTCTTCTACCGCAACCCACTGGCTGACATCAGGGCCAAAACGGCGTGCATTTGTAAGTACCGTATGTCACTTTCTCCTCGCATGCCCCAGGAGCAAAGAGGGAGTAATCTGAATCTGTACACGACTGAAAGTGAGTGGCATCGCCAATTGCTTTGGGAAACACTCTGTAGAACTGAAAAGTTTCCATTCTTTCATTGACCATTTCTCTTTTATTTTCCCCCCCATTGTGTCTGATTCTTGGAGATTATCTGGACAAATCCCTGCAGTTTTCTTGGCAAGGTTTTCCAGAAGTGGTTTGCCATTGCCTCCTTCCTAGGGCTTAGAGAAAGTGACTGGCCTAATGGCCACCCATCTGGCTTTGTTCCTGAAGCAAGACAAAAAGTCACAGTCTCTCGGTGACTTTAACCACTAAACTAAGCCGGCTCTCTTGACCCTAACTCTATTTTAAATCCCCCTTGGTTAAATTGCTAGCAATTTTTAAACTTGTCAGCGATCAGGTGCTACCGTTTTGAGCACTTCTAGGATGTATTGATCTCTACGAAGGGCACTGTTGCTTGTAAGATATTATTGGAGCTTTCCTCCAGAGGAAAGGACTTGAAGGGGATTATGTAATAAACTGTCAGAACCCAGTAGAAATGATTACTGCGCACAACGGTCCCTGCATTTGATTCACGGATGCTTCCCTACAAAGTGTTTCGTGCTGGATGACTCTGCCCTCTATGATCCCATCCCATCAATTTCTTTAGTGGTTTGTTCAGCTCAGTTCTAAATCAAGTGTTCAGTCGAGCTTTTTATTGAAACAAAAGCCTGAAATTACTCACAAGGTTTCCCTTTGGATTCTCTTTTCGTGGCTCTTTTCGTGGCTCGTGACATATCAACACCAGGGCCGGTGGTGAAATTCAGCCGGTTATATCCGGATCGCGCGATCCGGTAGCGCCGGCAGCAGGAAGCTCCGCCCACTCACCCGGACGTCATCACGTCCTGTTTTGACCCTCTGCGCATGTGCATAAGTCTCTGCACATGTGTGGAGGAGGTGGGCGCGCTCACATTTGCGAACTGATAGTAAAGGTAAGTGAATACCACTCCTAACCAAGGGTATCTACAGGGGTCAGAAGTTCAATATGGTAGCATAATACTCAGTTGGCCAGAAAGTGCCAATGTCAAGTCTAAGCTCATGTGTGGCAAAATGCAAAGATCCAGTTCCTGGACATCTTTGGCGAACCAAACTTTTGCTTTTCCTAGCAAAATGCACTAGGCACAACCAAAATGCATGTTCCAACGTGTTTGTGTGTAATACCTTTCCCTCCAAGAATGTGTCCTTCTCCTTAGAGCAGGGGTGTCAAACTCAGGGCCCGCGGGCCGCATCCGGGTCGCAGGATACTTAGATCTGGCCCGTGGGGCCGCCCTGGAAACAGCGAAGGACTTGCCTGTGGTGCCTCTGCCAGCAAAAATGGAGCTCGGGTGGGCCGTGAGCAGCCCCACGGGCTCCATTTTTGGTTGTGATGGCTGCCAGCAAAAACTGAGTCCAGGCGGGCTGCGGGCTGCCTCCCCGAACTCCATTTTCGCTGGCAGAGGGCTGCAGGAAGGAGTTGCAGCCAAAAACGGAGCCGCGATGAGTGACGTCGAGCTGGTCATGCCCCCCCACACCCCCACACCCCGAGGTCAAACACAATCCTGATGTGGCCCTCAAATTAGAGAAACATGGACAGGCCAGTATCAATAGGGACAGGGGCCCAAAAAATCTTAATTTTTTTTTATAGTTAGCCCTGGTAATCCTGAAGCTGCGTGCAGAGAGTGGTTAACAAATCACTATTTCTGAAAGTCGCCATCAATTGGCGACTGGTTTTACAGAGCCTTTGGCATGCTTTGCAGATGAAAGGAATAGCCGCGTGGCATTGTTCTGCCTATCCAATTTACCAGTTGGTTCACCACCACATACACACTTTTTCTCTTTCATCTCGTAGCCTGTGACTGTGACCCAGCAGGCTCTTCGGATGGAGGTGTGTGCGACAGTCACACCGACACAACGCTGGGCATGATTGCGGGACAGTGTCGCTGCAAAGAGAACGTCAAAGGTGCGCGTTGTGACAGCTGCAAAGAAGGCTTTTACGGCCTCAACGATCCTCTTGGCTGCCAACGTAAGTAACAAGGCTGTCTGGGGAAACCGGGTGGCTTTACAGGTATAGAGATTCTACAGGTAGCCCTCGATTTACGACCACAATGGAGTGCAACGTTTCTGTTGTTAAGCGAGATATTTGTTAAGGGAGCTTTGCCCCGTTTTACCACCTTTCTTGTCACAGTTGTTAAGTGAATCACCACAGTTGTTAGTTAACATGGTTGTTAAGTGAATCTGGCTTCCCCATTGACTTTGCTTATCAGAAGGTCACAAAAAGTGATCACACAACCCCGGGATATTGTGACTGTCATAAATATGAACCAGTTGCCAAGCATCTGAATTTTGATCACGTGACCACAGGGATGCTGCAACAGTCATAAGTGTGAAAAACGGCCATAAGTCACTTTGTTCAGTGCCGTTATAACTTTGAATGGTCACTAAATGAACTTTTGTAAGTTGAAGACTATCTGTACCTGTCACACTCCTTGAGTCCTAGTGGAGTAGAATAACTGTAGAAAAGTCACCTCCTTTCCCTTAATTTCATTTAATCTATTTTTATTTGTTTCTTTTCATGCATTCATTCATCCTCACTACCAATTAATCCTCTTATATTCCAAGCCTCCCTCTTCCATCTGTTACGATCGTCACCTGATGGATCTATAGATGCTGACTTCCACCATCTACCGTGGCTTCGGTCAATCAAGGCTTTCACATAAAGCTTTTAACTAACATGGACAATGTACAAACTAGGTTATCAAGGTTAATCATACTGAGTCTATATACCAGTCAGTTTTGGCACATTTGGACCAGTGTGCCACAAGGGTAAACCACTATCCAGCTTTATCTCAAGGGTCTTGTGCTATTCTGTGCAAGCCAGAATTCTGAAGACTTCCTTGTAAGCCAATATGCTTAACGTTGCTCACACCCCATGTGTATATATGCTTTGCTTTAATTTAAAAAATTAAATAAAAAGAGAATGTAAAAGTAAGCACACTGCAGAGGGAGGCACCAGCATCAAGCTTAATTTAAATTTTTAGCAATGCATCCGGAGCCTGGGCCCTTGTAATCCCCAGAGAGGCTTTGTAGAAGATTTTTAAAAAAGTGAAACCTAGTGTTTTGTTTGCCTTCAGATAAAATGGGAATAAAGCTGGGGTTAGACTTCAGCATGATTGCACGCAGAGGTGGGTTTCAGCAGCTTCTGACCAGTTCTGGACAACCAGTAGTGGAAATTTTGAGTAGTTCGGAGAAACGGTAGTAAAAATTCTGACTGGTCCCACCCCCATCTATTCTCTGCCTCTCAAGTCCCAGCTGATTGGGAGGAAATGGGGATTTTGCAGTAACCTTCCCCTGGATGATGATGATGATGATGATGATGATGATGATGATGATGATGATGATGATTGGTTCGATTTATATGCCACCCTTTTCCAGAGACTCAGGAAAATGCGTTAAGAAATAGCCTTCATACTTTTGTATATACCTGTTTAGTAGGGCTTTCGCCCCCCCCAAGCGGTGTTCTTTTTTTTATACAAAATCAGCTTATTGCCCCCACAAACTGGATTGGGGAGGGAATGGAGATTTTACAGTATCCTTCCCCTGCCACGCCCACAGAACCGGTAGTAAAAAAATTTGAAACCCACCACTGATTGCACGTCAGGGAATGTATGTGCCTGTCGTTCGGAGACAGTTGCATAGCTGTTGCGTTCATACTTCCAGTATTGTTAATGTTCTGGCTAGGGGTGCTCTAAAACCACCTGACTCCCAACACGAAGTCAGATCAACCAATGAGCATGCAGGACACACATCTCCACACAATGCATCGTTGAGATTTAGGAGTTGTGCGCATTGGCCTGCCTGCAATCATCTGCAACCTATGCTTATCCATCAACCCCTTTGCAGCGTAGAAGTGTGTCAACGCATTTGTGCAGTTCTGAAGAAGTCTAAACCAAGCTTAGTTGGCCAAACCCAACATGACAGCCATTCTTTGAGACAACCTCTAGCATGCTCTCAAAATTCCAAATGTGCCCACTGGCTTAGAGAGATTAGGAAACCAGGCTCTATCAGTGCAGTTTCCAGTATCTCTTATGCAGCCTATTATTTCCCACCCTTCTGTCTATATTTACTTAAACAGTACTCCCTGTTCCTTAGTGTTTTTTTCTTTAAACAACTATGGAATGGAAATTCTTTAGAAATTACTTCTATGGAGCAAGGTGAAGAAATAGCGTGTACTACGTGAATTCTCTTAGCAGAATTTGAATGTTGAGGTTGCACCATGTTGAGTAGAGCATAGCTGTTAGGCATTCCCTCTAACTTTGCAGCCATTGAGTCTGCTATGTTGGGCTTTGGGGGGGGGAGATGTTTAAGCAGAGAAATGTATGCCTCAAACCTCATCGCAACACAATCTGGAGGTGCTTTGCAAGGTGTAAAGTGAGGGTTGAGGGTTTCATGCAGTGGTGGGATTCAAGTAATTTAACAACCGGTTCTCTGCCCTAATGATTCCTTCCAACAACCAGTTTGCCAAACTGCTCAGAAAGTTAACCGGTTCTCCCGAAGTGGTGCGAACTGGCTGAATCCCACCCACTGGTTGCATGTCATTCTTGAGCTGTGAGGTCCTTGGTGCACTCTGAACTTGGTTATTTTCTTGCAGACGTTTTATTATCCAACTAAGTAACATCATCAATGCTAGAAGGATGTGAGGTTTGCTTTTTGTTTATATACAATTGTTCCATCAATGTTGGTCGGAGTGTTCTTGGTAATTCCTTCATTAAGCTATTGTTTACGGTATGTCTGAATTGATAATTCCTTGGTTGAAATATTGCTTACCAATTGATTGTTGGTCTAGTATTAATCTAGATATTAATCTCTGCTTATACTAGATACAAGGACAGTTTTTTCCCCCATGCCATCACTCTGCTAAACAACTAATTCCCACAACACCATCAAACTATTTAGTAAGGCTGTATTACTCTTATTCTTCTCATCTTTCCTATTACCTATCTCCTTTTCTACTTATGACTATAACTTTGTTGCTTATATCTTTATGGTTTATATTGTTTTATTTAGTTTCCTCGTATGATTTATGTCGATTGCTTATTTAGTATCCTATGACTAAGTGTTGTATCTTATGATTTATGATGAATGTAATCTTATGATGACTATGATCATGATTTATCACTTATAGCTTTTATGTACACTGAGAGCACATGCACCAAAGGCAAATTCTTTGTGTGTCCAATCACACTTGGCCAATAAAGTATTCTAGTCTATCTATGTTGATTGCTGGCAAGGAGGTGCAATCTTTTATCTTTTTGATTGTCTCCTTTTAATCATACAGTAGAACCTCTGGTCACAAATGCTTCTGACTACGATCAAATCGAGTTCTGACCAAAAACTTCACTTTTTTTTTTTTGTGGCCAATTTCCCCTTCCGTACCCTTTTTTCCAAAATTAGGTTTGGGTCATGACCAAATCGGATATGTAGATATTGATTTTCTGTATCAGTGGTGGGTTGCCCCCAGTTCGGACCGGTTCGCAAGAACCGGTAGTAAAACCGACGGGAGGCCCCACCCACTGCCCCGGATGTCATCATTGGCGATCTGCGCATGCGCAGAAGCAAGGCGTACGCACGAGCGAAGCGAGATCCCATTGCGAACCGGTAGTAAAGATAAGTAGAACCCACCCCTGATCTGTATGTATCTGTTGAGGAGAGCAGAGAGACAAACCCCATTCCCTTCTAGCATTGTTACTCAGTTGGGTAATGAAAAAACAATCAAGCTCAAAGAGCACCAGAGGCCTCACAGTTCAACCCTGAGCTACAAATATTCTCTTCTATCGGTCCTCATGAGTTTTAGGTTGCCTACCCCACTTTTTAAAGACCAGACATGGAAATTACTGGTCTGTGTTCTCAGCCTGCAGGTGTGACCCTCGTGGGATCACCACAGATAGCAGCCCCTGTGACCAGATCACCGGTGATTGCTATTGCAAGCGTTTTGTCACTGGGCAATACTGCGACCAGTGTTTGGTGAGTGAGGGTTGTATCAATTGGATTTCTACTGTGCATTCTTTGAGTCCATTCCCTAATGGGTGTGTTGGTCCTTCTCTTCCACAGCCTGAATACTGGGGTTTGAGCTACGACGTGGCAGGCTGCCGAAGCTGTGCTTGTGATTTCGGAGGTGCCTATGACAATAGGTAGGACTGCAGTGAGCAGACACCAAAGGGCAGAAGGAAACATTTTAAGTGGCTCCCGAGAGACCATCTGTTTCTCCACAGCTGAGAATTCTGAATTGACAGATCCTGAAAATAGAGCTTCACAAATTGATTCAGTGGCTAGTGGTCAAATTCCATAATAACACCGACACCCTTAAGCAGTTTACCGCAACAGCACTAACATTCTTCAGCATTGTGCACAAATAGGGATTGTAGGTTTTTGGTATCAAAAATACATTTAAACATTTTTTTAACTTGCATGTTTAACTTTTTTAAAACTTTTCACGTTTTCTAAATTTCATTGTAAACAATGGGATTTATGATTTTATAAGACACTCCTTGCTATGCTTGAGCACTGCTGTGAACTGTAATGTTGTTATGACCTAACAATGTCTCTAGACAAATGCTTATCCATTCATTAATTCAAATTAACACTGATGTGTAGAATTGCTTCCATTTCATGCAGCTTGGAGTCTTTCTTTCTTTCTTTCTTTCTTTCTTTCTTTCTTTCTTTCTTTCTTTCTTTTTCCTTCCTTCCTTCCTTCCTTCCTTCCTTCCTTCCTTCCTTCCTTCCTTCCTTTCTTTCTTTCTTTCTTGAGTGAAATTTCACAAAATGGTGACTTATACCCTAATGAATTCGAGAAAAACCATCAAGAACCAGACCAAAGTGCTTTGGGAACAGGGCCTGGTCCTTGGGGGCCACTTTACTGTGTTCTCAGTGTCTCCCCCAACGCCGTGCTTAGCTTAGCAATACTTACTGTAAAAATTATCCTCTGTGTCCTAGTGCCCTCCAAGTTACATTCCTTTTTGGTTGGGTGAACCAACCATCTGATGAGACGAAGCCAGAGAGAAATACAGGTGGTACCTCAACTTATGACCATAATGGAGGCCAACTTTTATGTTGGTATCCAAGACAGTTGTTAAGTGAGCCGTGTCCCATTTTACCAACCTTTTGCCATAGTTATTAAATCACTGCAGTTGTTAAGTTAGTAACACGGTTATTAAGTGAACGTAGTTTCCCCATTGATTTTGTTGGTCAGAAGCAGGGGTGAAATCCTCTGAAGTCTGCTACTGGTTCTGTGAGTCTGTTATTGAGCATGCGCTTTGCCCATGCATGCGTGCCTGAGGCGCGCCCATGCAGTGCTAAAAAAGAAACATTTCGAAGCCTTCCGAGTCTGTAAAGGTAAGTAGAACAGTGGGGGGGGGGAATCCGCTGTGCCACACGATTTAGATTAGCTAGAAAGCAGGAAATCCGATGATTCTAATATAAATCGCATGTCACAGCTGATCGCCACCCAGCTGATCCTCAGAAATACTGATTCGCCCGAACCAGTAGCATTTTTTACTACCGGTTCGCCTGAACCGGTCCAAAGCGGTAGCATTTCACCCCTGGTCAGAAGGTTGCAAAAAGTGATCACATGATCCCAGGACACTGCAGCCCATCATAAATACATTCTAGTTGCCAAATGTCTGAAATTTGATCATATGACGGTGGGATGCTACAATGGTCGTAAGTGTGAAAAACAATCATAAGTCACTTTTTTCAGTGCTGTTGTAACTTTGAATGGTCACTACGCCGATGGTTATATGAATGCCCACAACACTGAGCACCTCTATGGACTGGGACGGGGTTGGGTTCTCGTGCTAGCACCTCTACCAAGGAGCTGGGCCAATTTTCTTCCAACTCAATTGCCAAGATCTCAACTCACAACACAGTTATTTTGAGATGTAAGATGCAAACACTTCTTGGGACTTGGCGCTGGGCCAGTTTCTCCTTGAACCTTCCAGGAACATGGCACTCCCCTTTTTCTGCAGCTGGCAAGCTGCCTTGTAGTGTCCTATGACCTGATACAGGGCTTAGGGCAGCCAAGCAGACAAAAAATATTTGTTTTTCTCATCGCAAAACTAAACATGGCAAGGCAAGAAAAGGATTGCAAGAGAGGGTGTGGGTGGAATTTTGGGAGCCTCAGCTATCTGCTGTGATAACATCCATTGCGTTTTGCAAGACTGAATCGGAGAATTTGGGGAGAGCCACGGGCTGCAAAAAATGGGATACTCCTTATTGCCATGATGGCAAATCTATGGCACATGTGCCAGAGGTGGCATGCAGCGCCCTCTCTGATGGCACGCGAGCTGTCGCCCCAATTCAGCTCTGCCGTGCATGTGTGCGCACCCCCTGCCAGCCAGCTGGTCTTGGGGTCTCTGCCGCACATTGCGGGGAGGCAGGGGGCATGTGGGGGGATGCACGCGCATATGAAGGGGCGAGATGCATACGGGGGGCCCTGCGCACGCATGTGCAGAGGGTGGGGGCATGCGGGGGGCCGTGCATGCATACGCAGGGAGCGGGGCACGTGCTGATCAGCCAAATCAATGGAGGAGGCTGGTTTTGTTTAGCGATCACATAATTCTCTTAACAACTGCAGTGATTTGCTTAACAAAAAATTGTAAAATCGAGCGGAATTCACTTAACAACCGCCTTGCTTCGCAATGGAAATTCTGGTCCCCGTGGAGGTCATAAGTCGAGGACAACCTGTCTGAAGCCATTGGCACTGTTGAATGTTGCCTGCTTTTTGAAATTCCCACTCCACTTACATTGTTCAAAGACTTACCGGTAGCTAAAAGAGGTTTATTTTTGCTGTTGTGCCTTCTGTCTCCAGATGCTCCATGAACGATGGCCAGTGTCCCTGTAGGCCCCACCTTATAGGTCGTCAGTGCAACAATGTGCAGCCGGGGTTTTTCTGTATGCCCTTGGACTACTACATGTATGAAGCTGAACATGCCACCGGTCTTCCTCCAACTGATCCAGATCTCCCAGTAAGTGTGCCAGGCAAAGGAGGAGGGAATGAACTGGGTAGGACGAAAAACTGCTGTATCTGCATTGAGCTTTGTCTGTGTCTAGAAAACCATTGTCATTTATTTAAGAATTAAATAAGGAAGGGAGAGGATACAGGTGGTCTGAGGCTGGCTTAAGGCATATTTGAAGACTGCTTAAGTGCTAGGGAATACAATCCAACGTCCTAGCCTACTAAAAGGTTGCAAGAGGCTATCCAGAGATGCTGTAGTGTATTATCCTACTGGAAAGGATATGGCTGACAATTTTCAGCCTGTTCTTTTTGAACTTGGGACGAGATCAACCCCATCCATGTCCTGAATTCACACAAATCTTGTTGGTGCAGAAACTCAAGGTGCTGGGAAGAGAAAGAGAAGTTGGGAGGTCCATGTATTGCCTCTGCCTCATCCAGGAGTATCTAACACAAGATCCGCTGATTCGGCCCACAGGGCTGTCCTGGAAAATGTAAGGGGCCGGCCTGCATTGCTTCGGCTCAATCTACTCAATGCGAAGAGGAAACATCGGGCCAGTGTGGCTTCGGCCTGGACTACCCAGCGCAAAGAGGAAACATGCCAGCAGTTTGGGGAGTGGCGTCAAGTTGGCCACGCCCACCCAGTCAGCCACACCCAACCAGTTGGCCATGCCCAGTGAGTGTCATCAAACTGGCCACGCCCACCCAGTTGGCCACACCCACCCAGTCAGCCACATCCACCTGGCCCCTGAGGTCAACCACAGCCCTGATGCGGCCCACGAGGAAATTGAGTTTGACACCCCCGGTGTAGTCCAACAGATTGCTATATTTGTCTGTGTATTTTTATAGTATTTAGAGCACACCCCAATCTTGAGAAATTTGGGGTAAGGTCCGTGGTTCCCTTCCATTTTGCCCTTTCAGATTTTAGCTTCTTTGGATTGCTGGGTAGCTAAGGCAGAAAGACACAATCACCTGTAACAATTGCAGTGAGATCTGCTTTCCTCCGGTGACAGGGTCCCTTGAGGCAAGAATCGCCTGTGGATTGTGTGGAATATTACAACGGAGTCCAGAATGGGCGCAGAGTGAGGCTGAGGCGCCAGCACAGCACAATGAGACTCCTGCAGCAGCGAGGGGGGCTCTCGCGAGCTCGACAGCTTCAACAAAAGGTGACTGTGGGAAAACGTCTTGGGGGAAAAATGATGCTGGAAGAGAAAATGGGATTGCCCAGAGCTCTCTGAGATACTAGTAGGGCTACCCCAGAAGACTCAACTTCCAAAGGGGGAAAGAAAGAATAAGATGAGATCTTCTTTCCGAGTCACAGGACTGACAGCTGAATTTTACTTTGATCCCAGTGAAGGGACATTGTCCTGCACTGCACATGAAGTCCTAGTTTAGGGGAATTTATAGATAGCTATGGGTCTGGTAACATATTAACTCCTTCCATAGTACATACCTCTTGCATCCCAGAATCAAAGGGAGTTGGGCAGTATATAAATTAGATACAGGTAGTCCTCAATTTACGACTGTAATGGAGCTTGATCAACCTGATTTTATACCCTTCTGTTGGCAGTCATTAAGTGAATGATGTAGTCATTAAGCAAACCAATCGTTTGCTGCGAGCCAGTTTTGCTGAAAACTGGAGGTAAATGCCACTTTTTGGTAAAAATATCATCAAACAAGATCATATGATCATAAAATGCTGCAAACAGGTGTAAATGCATGCCAATTGCTCAAAATGCTGTCACATAATTGCGGCGTATATGTGTGTGGCTGTTGGAACCTCAGGACTAGTTCATAAGTACCCCCGAAGAGGTCTATGGTAACTCTGAACAGTCACTAAGGGATCAGTCATAAGTCAAGGACTACCTCTATTTCCTATGTTATATTTTTCTCTGAAAAATAAATTGTGTTGTAGGGATGAAAGTGAAAATGGATGGATCCATGGATAGATTAGATGATGAAAGAAAGAGAAAGAAAGAAAGAAAAAAGAAAGAGAGAGAGAGAGAGAGAGAGGGAAGGAAGAAAGAAAGAAAGAGAGAGAGAGGGAAGGAAGAAAGAAAGAAAGAGAGAGAGAGGGAAGGAAGAAAGAAAGAAAGAAAGAAAGAAAGAAAGAAAGAAAGAAAGAAAGAAAGAAAGAAAGAAAGAAAGAAAGAAAGAAAGAAATATAGGCTTGAGAGATGGGAGAGGATGCCTGGAAATTGTTGAGCTCTGGGTTTTTTTAAGCCAAAAGGTAAAAGAATAAAACTTAGATCCATTGTGCTTCTCTCTGTCGTTATTTAAAAACATCTTGAGCTTGTAAGAAAGGCACGTGGTTTTGCTGGAACAGTAGCTCCGCGTTGTAGCAGGGAAGGCTTCCTCAAAGGGCTGTTTCCACTTGCCAATCAAGGTGCTAAAAACATACTCAAGGAAGCGCCAGGAGGGTATGAGTAAGAAACACTGGGAAGACTACGATACCATGTCTTTGCTGCTGACACTGCATTTTTATCTACAGCCTGATGTGGAAGTTGTACAGCGGGAGCACACAGGCCATATGATCACATGGACAGGGCCAGGCTTCGCCCGTGTGCGCGATGGGGCTGGACTATCCTTCCACATTGACAACATTCCTTACCCAATGGAATATGGCATCTTGTTCCGCTATGAACCTGAGGTAGGTAGAAATTGTTGGAGGGAAGACAGGTGGGCTTTTGACGGCCAAAGTCCTGATCATATCTTCAGCATATGCATGGGAGCAAGAATGATTTATTAGAATAAGTAGCAAATCATTTGGGAGGAAATCTTTAAAAATTTATTTTTCTAATACAATTGCTTTGATTATCTATACTTGTGCTTTTCACGAATACATATTGGTAGGTCATTATTAGATCAAAGTGCTAAGATTAAGAAATGGACTTGCAGAAGCATCTTCTCAACTTAGGTCTCATATTCTTAACCACAACTGCATGGGTGATAGTAAAAGAAGAAGCAAAATAAGTTATTTAGTGTCGGGTGCAAGCAACAAGAACCACTTGTGAATTAGCAGAAGTTTTATTGTTAGTCATCCTATTTTATAAGAATTGCACCAGATTACGTACATTGTCTTGGGAATGGTGAGATAAGGCTTCAGAGATTCTGGGGAAGTTCAAGCTATGCCACTTTCTACAGTGCAATGACTCTAAGCTAAGCACTCTTTTAATACCTCCTTCCAGTCTATCTGGAGATTCCACCACCACAAGAGATCTGCTATAATTTTTGAGCCTGGAATATTGAATATTGCAATGTGATATATATATAGACTGTTCCAAGGAGGAGAGCAGTTCTCAATTCATACATGTATACATGAGCCATACATGTATACAGTGATGCAGTGCTTAGAGTGCAGTACAGCAGGCTACGTCTGTTGCCTGCTGGCTGCCTGCAATTTGGCAGTTTGAATCTCACCAGGCTCAAGGTTGACACAGCCTTCCATCCTTCCAAGATCGATAAAATGAGGACTCAAATTGTTGGGGGCAATATGCTGACTCTGTAAACCGCTTAGAGAGGGCTGTAAAGCATTGTAAAGCGGTATATAAGTCTAAAAGCTATTGTTATTGCTATTTGTAATTATACAAATCTATCCTTGTTATTATTAAAGTCCACATATATAAGGCCAACTATGACCTTCAGCTTTGCTGATAGTGTAGTTTCCTTGGCAAGATCTCAGAAGTGGTTTGTCCTTGTCTCCTTTCTAGGGCTGTGAGAAAGTGACTGGCCCAAGATCACCCAGCTGGCTTTGTGCTTGAGAAAGGACCAGAACTCACAGTCTCCTGGTTTCTAGTCTCGTACCTTAAAAACTACATCAAACTGGCTCCAATGATGGCTATGCTGGCAGTGAAAATATTTAAATTATAAAAAACCAGAGTGTGAACATATCACATTGTTATTCTTGGGCAAAAGAGACCCAGATTCAAGTCCATGTTAGGTTTTGGAACTCACTGCATCTAATTGGTATGTGAGAAGACCTTGAGAGATGGTGTGAAGACATTCTGCCAAGAGAATAAGAGACGGCATAGCCCACAGCTGCATAATGGGGAGAGAAAGCAGCTCAAAAGGGACCCTACCTAGCTTTTCAGGCTGTAAAAGTGGGAAATGTGCACACGGAGACTTGCACGTTTCTGTTCATATAGCCTTACATGACCTTTACACAAGCCTCATATAGTCATACAAGTAGAATTAGCTCATCTGGTCGTGTTTGCTGTCTGGTCTACTTGGGAAGGCTGATATCACCTGAATTTGGGCCAGTCACTTTTTTCAGCAAAATCTGTTTCACAGGTTGATTGTTGTGAGAATAATGTGGTGTCTGACTCCATATGCATGGTCACCAAGGTCTCCTTGACAGAAAGAAGGGCTATGATCAGGAATGAAATCTAGCAGGCTCTGACAGGTTCTGGAGAACTGGTAGCAGACATTTTGAGCAATTCGGAGAACCGAAAAATACCACCTCTGGCTGGCCCCAGAATGGGGTGGGAATGGAGATTTTGCAATATGCTTCCCCCAGGAGTGGGGAGGGAATGGGGATTTTGCAGTATCTTTCCCCTGCCACGCCCACCAAGCAACACCACGCCCATAAAAATTTGGATTTTACCACTGGCTATGATCATAATAAATGTTTGGTCAGGTTTTAGTGGTTTCTAAACCACGCCTATCTTTTTCTCTGGATTTAATTTTGTGATTACTGATTTGTTTTTTAATAATGAATCTTAGTTATGAACACTTTTTGAGTCAGAAAGAGTTATGAAGTTTGGTGCAGTAGTTAAGGTGCCAGCCTGGAAACTAGGAAAATGTGAGTTCTAGTGCTGCCTTTGGTATAAAAGCCAGCTGAGTGACTTTAGGCCAGTCACTCCCTCTCAGCTGAATTCACGTCCCAGGATTGTTATTGTGAGGAAAATAAGAGGAGGAAGGAATATTATGTATGTTTGCCATCTTGAATTACTTATCAAGTAATAAGGGTGAGATACAAATCTAATAAATAAATAAAGCTCTCATGAAGGATCTTCACTCTGTGTGAAAATTTGAGAAGGCACTATTTACTCTGGGATTCTGTCTTTAAACCTGTTGTATCTCCTCTTCAGTCCACAGAAGATTGGGAAGTTGTTGTCAGTGTCAGCTCGCAGGACCTACCAGTGAGTCCACGTTGTGGCAACTTGCTGCCCTCCGAGCAAGTGTATCAAGGGAGTTTGCCTCATACCTCCAGGTGAGAAAAAAGGATGGGAGCTGGCGGGCAATTTTTGTGGACACAAGAGATCTTAAACTAAAACGTTGTTCTTTAATCTTATTCCAAATTGCTTACTCAATGGAGAGGTTTATTACAGAGTCTGCTACTGTTTGTTTTCACTGGCTTCCCATCACTAATGACTGTTCTTTAGTTGATGGATTTTAGGATGTGCCTGACAAAATGAAACAGCGCTGTGGGCTAAATTCCATATTTTCCAGAGTCCTTTGATACTCAAGAACAGAATATATTATTCAGCAGATGAATGTCTGCAGAGAGGCTTAAAATGTTAGGATGGAGCTGTGATCACACACTCAACACTTTGCCTCTTTCTATGTGTGTCACATGTTAAAAAGGGGTGGGACTTTGATTACGTGGATGTAGCTGCCATTTTTAACTTTTTGACATTTTGTTACCAAACTAGGTAACATCATCAGCGCTTAGATACAAAATACAAAAAATCTACAGCAAACAAAGTGCTAAAATTTTCTGAAAAATAGTAATTATTCATTTTTAATAAGACACTGTGCAGTACTCTGATTTTCTATCCTTAAGGGATTTTTACTGGTAAGGAAAAGATGGAAGAAGGTGTGGGAGAAGAAAGAAGGGTTAAAAATGGAAGATAATGGCACCTGGTATCTTTTCTCTGAATGAGGTAGATAGGTTGCCAAATAATGACTTAACCAACAAGTCTCTTTACCCATGTTCCAATTGTAACATTGTAAGGTTAAAACTTGTGTTTTGGCACAACTGACTTTTCTTTCATCTGGATATTTGGTGCTGGATTGACTGATTTTTTTCCCTATAATTAAATGAAAAGCTCCTGTGTTTTATGTGGTTAGTAAGTTATTGATATTTTGGTTTGGCCAAGGGCCTCTGCGTGTGCTGGTGGAATTTGATCTTGCATGAGACTTTGACTCATCACTTCCATAATTTCTTTCTAAAATACTTACTAACTCGATATTTCTTTTTAAAGTCTGTTGCTGTCTATCCAGTTTTTTTTTTTTAATTGTACGGCTTATTTCTCTACACACAAATTCCATTTTGCATGAATTTAGTTTCTAACATTTGTGAGAGATTCTGATCAATTTATGGATTTTCTTTTCTCTGGCTTTCCAATCTTGTTCTATTTCTCTCCTTTTCACTTTATAGATTCTCTCTCTCTCCTTCCCTCTCCCTCTCTCTCTCTCCCTCTCTCCCAAAAATGGCCCGAAAAACAGCCTGAAAACGGCCCAGAAAAGCTGGCTGCAAGAGGAAGAGAAGCCGCGTAAGCCGGATCCAGACAAGTTCCGGGTCTCCTCATCCCAGAAGCAGCAACTTCGCACTCTTCCCCTCTCTGCTAGCCCCCTTCTTCGCACGGGATCACTCAGCAATGGAGACGGAGAGGGAGAAGGACGCAGAGTTCCTGTGTGCTCCCGTTTCTGTGTGGCACTCTCTCCTCAATGCTAGCGGCTGCTACTGGCCCCTTCTCCCTCTCCATCTCTGCTGCTGGGCATTGGATCTTTCTTCCTCCCCCCACCAGAGACACCTAGATTCCCTCCCCAACCCTGCCTCTCCCATACGGGTACCACCCACACAAGTGATGTAGAGTTGGCCACGCCCGCCCAGCCAGTCATTATGGCAGGAAACCCATTGTTAAAAAATTTGGAGCCCACCACTGCAGTCCGAAGATTACCGCTGGGTTATGGGACATCTCCTTCTTTCTAACAAGATGCTTAATAGTTTGGCTCAACAGATGGGTTTATAGGTGATCTGGCCCTACGTCTTTCTTCTCAACATAGTTGTCTTTGATCTTCAGATCTGGCAAGTGCAGGTATCCATTCCCCAAGCTTACTATCATAACCTTCTTGATTTATGAACTGAGCTCTTCATCCTGCCGGCATCTGTCTCTACTGTCATTCACGTAATGTGTTTTTTCCTGACAAGATCTTTGCTTATCGTTGCTCCCCAGATACTTGCTTCTGCCAAGGCCCTTCTGCTTTGAGCCCAGAAACCATTACAAGATCATCGTGCGGTTCCAGCGAGCAGGCGTGGCACAACGCCATCCTGGAGCTTTCATCCTGGTAGACTCGGTGAGAACATTATTCTTACCTTTTATTTGGCCCCACCCCCAATCTATTGCTGCCTCCTGAGTCCCAGCTGATGGCTAGAGGGGAAAAAACTGTTTAAACTCTTGCCGCGGGGCTTCAAAGGGCCGCCCTACAGCTGATCAGTGTTAAAAGAAAACAAATGAGTAGACCGGTGCCTGCAAAAATAAATGGGTAGATCGGTACAGTTCTGCAAGCAGTTAAAAGCCTGGTAAACCAGTACCTCTGCTAAATCCTAAATAATTGTCACATGACCATCAAGCAACGCCCACAAAATAAGCCACGCCCACAGAACCAGTGGTAAAAAATTTTAGAACCCACCCCTGGGGTGTTTTAATCCAGAAGCTACTAGTAAACAAATTATGGTCTGGTGAACAGACAGTCCTTGATATACGATCTTACAATTGAGCGCAACATTTCTGCTGCTAAGCAAAACGCTTAACTGAGATCTGACCTATTTTGCGGCCTTTCTTGCCACAATTGTTAAGGGAATCACTGCAGTTCTTAAGTTTAGTAACATGGTTGTTAAGTGACTCTGCCTTCCCCATTGATTTTGCTTGTCAGAAGGTCACAAAAGGTAATCCCTTGACTCTGGGCCTATTATAACCAGCATGATTCCGAACCAGTTGCCAAGCATCCAAATTTTGAACACGTGACCATGGGGACACTATAAGTGTGAAAAACGATCATCACTCACCTTTTCCAGGGCCATTGTAAATTTGAGCAGTCATTAAACGAATGGTTGTAAACTAAGGAATACCTGTAATGTGTTAATGTGTCAAGCTACCTGAGCATTTTGTGAATGGAAAGATTGAGTGAGAGGTAAATGAGGTAGATAGATGGGGGGGGAGGTGTTAGAGAGTGAGAGATATTTGACAATGTTTTTTTTCACAGGATCCAGTCTGGCTCAGTCACTGGCACCAGAGATCCAGTCTTCTGAGCTTTCAGGCTCATGCTGGAGCACATCCTCAGGGAACTGGTGAGAAAGAAGTTCCCTGAGGATGGGCTCCAGCACGAGCCCGAAAGCTCGGAAGACTAAACCTCTGGTGCCAGTGATGGACCCAGATTGGATCCTGCAACATTATCCTGGGACATGTATCTTTCCTTCCATTAGTGTTCCCCCCCCCGCTCTAAGATTCCTCCCCCCCCTTTATCCCACAGCTGGTTCTTTTACCCCACGTGACAGAACTACCTGGTCTCCATGGTGATGATCCAGCTTCTGTGGAGCGCCGGGAGGCCCTGGAACACTACACATGCCTGGAATTATTTCGCATGGCCACCATGCCTGACCTGCCTGAGACCTGTGCCCACCTGCTCTGCAGCATTTCTGCCATAATCCACGACGGGGCTCTGCGTAAGTGAAAGAATGCCCCCCTCCCACCCACCCCCAGGTAGGAGAGGGACAGTATCTCATTCTCCAAGGATGTTGAATTCTAGGAATCGTCAACAAACATGTATGGACCAATGGTGAGAATTCCGGCTTTGATCTTCTTGAAATTGGTGTTATAATGCTATGGGCAAGGATAGAGCCCAGTGTCTGAAAATTAAATGGGGACAAATGTAGCAAAATATTTCCTATAATCAGCAAGTTTTGGTCTGAAGGCTGGAAGTTTCCTCAGGGTAGGCTTCAAAAATTTTAGCAAAGGTTTCTCTGCCCGGTTGCTGGGTGGGCGTGGCCATGGTGGGCGTGGCCTAGTCAGCCTCCTGCACCACGGGGTGTGTGTGTCATTTTTGCCCTCCCCGGGTTCCAGAGGCTTTTCTCGAGCCTCCAGGAGGGCGAAAATGGCCTCCCCAGGCTCCGGAGGCCCTCTAGAGGCCAGAAACAGGCCCATTTCCGGCCTTCCCAAACTTCCTGTTTTTTGCTCTCCCCGAGCCTCTGTGCCTGCCTTTCCCTTACCTGCATCCAAAATGGGCCATATAGGGACTCCTGGACAGGGCGGGGTGAGGTGGATGGGACCAGCCAGGAATGGGATTTGGGGGTTCTGCGAACTGCACATAATCTTAGCTACAGGTTCTCCCGAACCCCTGTGAACCCCCAGTAGCCCACCCCTGGTGAGCTCCATTTGTACTTAAGAATACAGAATAAGAGAGTTAGAAGGAATCTTGTAAGTCATCTTACAAGATCAAGGAGGAGACCTTATGTCATTTCTGACAAATGGCTGTCCAGTCTCTTCTTATAAGCTTCCAGTGATGAAGCTACCACAACTTCTGAAGGCAAGCTGTTCCATTAGTTGATTGTTCTCAGTGTCAGGGAATTTCTTCTTATTTCTAGGTTGGATCTCTCCTTGATCAGTTTCTATCCATTCTTTGTCTGGCCTTCGGATGCTTTGGAAAATAGATTGTCCCCTCCTTTCTGTGACAGCCCCTCTAATATTAGAACACTGCTATCATATCTCCCCTGGTCCTTCTCTTCACTAGACTAGTCATGCCCAGTTCCTGCAACCGTTCATTGTATGTTTTAGCCTCCAGGCCCCTAATCATCCTGGTTGCTCTTCTCTGCACTTATTTATTTATTATATTTATATACCGCCCTTCTCCCGAAGGACTCAGGGCGGTGAACAGCCAAGATCAAATACATACATATAAAAATTAAAAGCAAACTTTCTAGAGTCTCAACCTCTTTTTTATAGGGTGGTGACTAAAACGCCTAAGGAGGCATTACGAGAGAAGTATAAGAAAGGGAATTTTGCTGTGAATGATTGTTTCTGAATTCCGCAGTCAGAAAACATTATTTCCAGACCGGTGGCTGAGATGTCTTAAAATCTACAATCATGAAGTCTAGAAACCTTTAAAGTTTTCAAGCTAATAAAGCAAATGCTGAGAATATCAGGAATGCAGTAGCCTGATTACTGCTGAAAACTATGTCTTAATTCCTTGATTATTTTATTATCTCCAATAGCTTTTTGGAGTTCTGCTGCATAAACTACTGCATAACATAAGCAGGCATGTCCCTAACACTTCTTGCTTCTGAGTCAGCTCTAGAGGGAGAAGTTTTATTCGGTGTTCCAGGGAGGCATTCTCTCACATCCTTCATCTTGTGACCCAAAAATCCAAGATCTGTCCAATCTTACTTGATTGCAGAATGTCTTTTGTGTTCCACCTATAACCCTAATTCTTACATTGCTGTTTTTTTATCCCTCCTAAGCCTGCCAGTGTGACCTCCAGGGTTCCACCAGCAGCGTCTGCCATAAACTGGGAGGACAGTGCCAGTGTAAGCCCAACGTTATGGGTCGGCAATGTGACCGGTGTATCCCAGGCACTTATGGATTTGGACCTTACGGCTGCAGTTGTGAGTAGCTAATTCATTTTTATCTTTTTCCAAAGTGTATGCTTGGAAGGAAACACACAAGCACAATAACAACCAGCATTCTAAGTCAGAGAGGTATGCAACAGCTGGTTGAAAGCAAGGTACTCTTTGTTCATATTGTGGCACAAGCGATGTCAGTTTTGATTTAGATTAGGATTAGGATTAGGATTAGAGAGAGATAATAGAGAGATGGGAGAGAGATGGTAGATTATATATAGTATAAACTAAGTAAGAATATAATCAAATATGTTATTGTTTTATAATTAAACTACATTGTTTAAGATACCTAATATTTTACACACACACACAAGAAAAATAAATTTGGTGTAGAAAAAAATGTAATGATATATTAAGCTACTTTTTAAAAAAGCCCAAACGTTGGGGGAACAAATCAGTGGTGGGTTGCCCCCACTTTGGACCAGTTCACAAGAACCGGTATTAAAACCGGCGGGAGGCTCCGCCCACCCACCCAAGATGTCATCATAGGCGATCTGCACATGCACAGAAGCGCGATTCCATTGTGAACCGTTAGTAAAGGTAAGTAGAACCCAGCCCTGGAACAAATGCAGTACTCAACCAAACGAAAACCAAAATAATGATGGAAAATACTTAAATATCCAACAGTGATTAAATTTGAACTGAACCTAGACCACATGAAATTATATTATCTAGTCTTTCCTCCTTATCCACACAACAGTAATTGAAAGGCTGCATTGAAAATTTTTATTACAGCAGCATTTAGAGTTTGAGAAGCAGGAAAAAAACAGCATCTCTGAAAAGACAACAGACCTGCAAATCACTTCTCTGTTGTGACCAGGAAAACCTCATGGTCATCACTATGTAGTTACCAGGAGCTGAGGTCACCTCGAAGGAGACGTTCTATTTGCCTTTGCTATATTGTAGGTAACAAAAAAAACCAAAAAGTGTTTTCTGCCAGAGGTGAGATGGGCATAATAGCTGCATCAGGAAACTTATTATTTGTGCCTCCACTGGGACAAATCTATTCTCCACCTATTCTGTTCAGCAGAATAAATAGCCTAACAGATAACTCAGTGACATCCCAATCTATCAGAAGTCAATGCGACAGATTTTGCACACAGTGGTTTACATCATTTGCACAATGATCTCATTTTCCCAAACGCCATCACTCTGTTAAACAAATATTTCCCTCAACACTGTCAAACTATTTACTAAGTCTGCACTACTATTAATCTTCTCATTTTCTCATCGTTCCCATCACCCATCTCCTCCCACTTACGATTGTATGACTGTAACCTTGTTGCTGGTATCCTTACGATTTATATTGATATTGTTTCCTGATTGCTTATTTGTAACCTATGACTATCGTTAAGTGTTGTATCTGATGATTCTTGATGAACGTATGTTTTATTTTATGTATACTGACAGCATATGCACCAAGACAAATTCCTTGTGTGTCCAATCACAATTGGCCAATAAAAAAATCTATTCTATTCTATTCTTGCTGAAATGAAACATTGTGTGCCAAATGATCTCCTTTGCATAATACCTCATTACAGGTAGTCATCAACTTACAACCATTCGTTTAGTGACCGCTCGAATGGCACTGAAGTTGCAATGGCACTAAGCAACTTACGACCAATTCACATTTGCGACCATTGCAGCATCCCCACGGTCACGTGATCAAAATTTGGCCACATGGCAACTGATTCATTTTTATGACAGTTGCTTTTTTCCCAGGTTGCTCTTCTGTTTCTCACAAGAGGTGGTAATCTTTTGTGATCTTTGGACAAGCAAAGCTGATGGGGATGCTGGATTCCTTTTACAACTGTGTTACTAACTTAACAACAGCAGTGATCATTTTAACCCTTGCAGCAAGAAAGGTCGTAAAATGGGGCAAAACTCACTTAACAGCTGTCTTGCTTTAGAAACAGACATTTTGGGCTCAATTGCGGTTGTAAGACGAGGACTGCCTGTAATGACACAAATTACTTCCATCCCTGCAATTCCGTTCTCATTCAATGGACACCCTTGAATAAGCCTTCCTGACCCACCATCAGAATAAGGTCTCCATGTTTGTTTGTTTGTTTTGCAAAAAGTTTTTTTATTTTTTTCCAAACATACAGATTACATCCTTTCGGAACAGAGCTTTGATCCGGTCATCACTTTGTTCAATTTTTAACAAAATCTTTAACAAAATTTTATCTATTCTATTTTGCCATAGCACTTATTTCTAAATCTTAGATCACATATACAACTAATACCATCTTAGAAAAAAAATCAACACATATTTACTTAATCAAAACAATAACCCTTCTATTAACCCACCTTAAGTCTTAATTCAATTAATAACTCATAATGCAACCATTCTTACCCTAGATCCTCACTATTGATAATACAATTCAAACATATTTATGTTTCATTAGGCTCATTAAGTCTTTATTCCATTATTACTTTATCAAATTTAAATCTTTATCTTTTTAATTTTAGAAATATAGCAATTTAACATTTAAACATAGTTCTTAGTTCAAATAATGCTCTTTAACACAATTTCCCAATTATCCTAAATTCTATCTATCAAGGTCTCCATGTTTGTTGATCCCTGAGTTTTTGTTTTCACAGCCTGTGCTTGTTCCCCTGAGGGCTCGGTCTCCAAAATCTGTGACCCAGTCAGTGGGCAATGCCGATGCCAGCAGGGTATCGTGGGACGCCAGTGTGAACAGTGTCCACTAGACCAGTGGGGCTTCCCTCACTGCCGTCCTTGGCACTGTAACGGGCACGCAGAGAAATGTGATTCACACACCGGAGCCTGTCAAGAATGCCGAGATTATACAGCAGGCCGCCATTGTGAAAGGTGAGTATGGCAGACCAATGGAAAGTTAAGAGTAAGGCCCCACCCACTTCATTAAGCCATGGTAGAAATGTTGCACTAAGAACTATTGATTAAGCATTTTCAATGAATAAAATGTTTTGAGAGATGTATCTATTTATGCTGGAAAGGATTAATGATCAAAGATACAAGTGGTATTCTTCCCCCATCTTGTTCTCAGCCTTGAAGCAATCTAGAAGAGCCTTTCATTTATTCTCCTCTAAAAATGGCATTATTCTTACTCCATAGATACCAATCTTCAGGGGAAGAGCTGAGCTGAGCTGAGCTTGCAGAGTTATTTTAGGAAGAACCTGTGTAATATCTATGAACCGATCAATAAGGAGATGATAGATAAATTGCGTAACTAAATAAACAATTGATGGCATAGGAAGTTTAGCAGAAAGTAGGTTACCTATGAGTTTGAGGAGGGAAATGTTAAGAAGGAATATGTTGGAGGGTGCTGTAGAGTGCAATATTAACTTGTAGAGTTATAGAAATTATGAATTAAAAGACACTTATAGGTCATCCAGTCTAACCCCTTACTCAGGGCTGGAATCCAGTAATTAATGTCCATCAAGTAGCAATAGAGCACCTATTTCAGATCTGAAGTGACACTTGCCGAGAATCTGATTTTAGATCGCATGATCAAAATGGGGATGCTTAACCTTAGACTGGCTACTATTGACCTCACCCCTTTCCTAAGAGGTCTGTAAGGGGCATGCATAAGACCACCAGCGGGCCTACCATCCCTGTCCTAATGTTCCCTTTAATTATATTCATTTTATGTATTCAATTCATGCTTACATATATTATTTAATATGTACTTGACAAAATAAATAAATAAATAAATAAATAAAATAAATAAATAAAATGCTACAAAGGTTGTAACCGTGAAAAATGGTCATAAGTCACTTTTTTCAGTGTCGTTATAACTTTGAACGGACACTAAATGAACTGTTGTAAGTTGAGGACTACCTGTATTTGTTAAGACCATCTTCTTCATTGGACATTATAATGTTGGTAGTGCTTCACAGAATCTGCTGCAGCAGGTTTGATATAATATCGATTTAAGTGCCCATTCTGGACAATACTACCGTATTTTTCAGAGTATAAGATGCACCGGAGTATAAGACGCACCTACCTTTTTTGGTGAGCAAAAGAAGAAAAAGAAATCTGCCTCTGCCTCTGAGCAATTTTGCCTTTGCAGCAAACAGCAAACAGCCTGCTTTACTTTCATTTTTGTTTTCAGCATACCTTGATTAGCACAAGGGAAAAAAAAATCTGCTCCAGCAATTTACCTCCTTGCAGCAAGCAGCAGAGCCCTGCAAAACAGCTGAGAGCAAATCAGCTGAGAGTCGGGAGGCCGATCCAATCAACTTGTGCTAATTAGGCTGTGCTGAAGCTGAAAGGAGCTGTTTTTTCTTGCTATTTGCTTGCAAGGGGGTAACTGCTGCGAGGCAGAGACCAAAGGGTGAGGGCCAGTGGGTGGGGGGGCTACATTTGGTGTATAAGATGACCTAAATTTTCACCCCCTTTTAGGGGGGAAAAGGTGCGTCTTATACTCTGAAAAATATGGTAATTTGTGAAAAATAACCTTGAAAAGGTCGTGATAATTTCGGATGCTGATCATTGCTTGGACTTTTGCTTCATTTGCAGGTGCCTGGATGGATACTATGGAGACCCAGTCCTGGGATCAGGGCAACAGTGTCGGCCGTGTCCCTGTCCTGGATATCCAGGTTCTCGGCACTATCACGGCATTTCGTGCCAGGCTGACAGAGACACAAATCAGATCGTTTGCTTGTGTGCTCCTGGCTACACAGGTAAGGTATACAGGTAATTCTCACTTAACGACCAGTTGCTTAGTGACAGTTCAGAGTTAAAGCAGACCTCCACAGCTACTTACGATCCCATTTCAAAGTTCCAACAGTCATGTGATCACATTTCATAACTGGCTTGTGTTTACGGCCATTTGTGATGTCCTGTGATCACATGACTCTGATTTTCTGTAGGTTTTTTTGCTGTCTTGGGCATTTATTTCTGGCAAAAAAAAAAAAGCCCATTGGAGAACAGGAATTTGTTTAACAACTATGGCATTCGCTTAACAATCATTGCAAAAGAGGTCATAAAATCAGGTTCCTAACAGCTACCATGACTTATATCTGTAATTAACCGACTCAATTATGGTTGCAAGTCGAGGACTACCTGTATCCTGGGTCAAGGAAAGTGTATGATCGCTGCAATAATTTAAGTGTCAGAATTCTGTGATGCTCCATCCTTTGCAAGGCCACCTTCTCCAGTATCCCTTTAGCATTATCGGACTCTTGCCACAGTTATGCTAAGCTGGCCTGCCCAACATGTGACTCACCAAAAGAATACAGTCAGCAGATACTTGAGACCCCCACTCCCATGTCTTTTGCAGACCGATGCAGGGAGCAGGATTGTGTAGTCTTAAGATTTGCAATCACTTGATTTATCTCCTGCTAATTTTCCCTCCCTTCCATGCACATACAGTACATACCAATGGTGGAATTCAAATTTTTTTACTACCGGTTCTGTGGGCATGGCTTGGTGGGCGTGGTAGGGGAAGTATACTATAAAATCTCCATTCCCTCCCCACTCCAGGGGAAGGATACTATAAAATCCCCATTCCCTCCGCACTCCAGTGGAAGGATACTGTAAAATCTCCATTCCCTTCCCACTCAAGGGGAAGGATACTGCAAAATCCCCATTTCTTCCTGATCAGCTAGGACTCGGGAGGCAGAGAATAGATGGGGACGGGGCCAGTCAGAGGTAGTATTTACCGGTTCTCTGAACTACTCAAAATTTCTACTACCGGTTCTCCAGAACTGGTCAAAACCTGCTGAATAGCACCTCTGGTACATACCCAACTGAATGTAATTATTTACAGAATAACAGAGTTGGAAGGGGCCTTGGAGGTCTTCTAGTCCAACCCCCTGCTTAGGCAGGAAACCCTACACCACTTCAGACAAATGGTTATCCAATATCTGACTTTGGACACCAGAAATCCTATGAATCCAAATTTCCTCCACCAACTTCAACCCAATCCCTTCTCCCAATTTCTCAGAAATTCAGTAGTATTGGCCGATTGTAAAGTAGCGGAAGGAAGAGGAAGGAGAAAGTTCCATTTTTTTAAAAAAAAATCTCATGGATAACTTGCTCTTTTTCTGGCAGGGCCACGATGCGATCGCTGTTCCCCTGGCTATTTTGGAAGCCCTGGGCAGGAAGGTGGTGCCTGCCGCCCTTGTCAGTGTAACAATAACATTGACCCCAGTGACCCCGAGGCCTGTGACCCACATACTGGTCAGTGTCTACATTGCCTTTACAACACTGGTGGACCCCACTGTGCCGAATGTCAGCCTGGCTACTACGGCAATGCCTTTCAACGGAGCTGCCGACGTGAGTGAAATAGCAATAGCATTCGGATTTATATACCGCTTCACAGTGCTTTTACAGCCCTCTCTAAGCAGTTTACAGCGTCAGCATATTTCCCCCAACAATCTGGGTCCACATTTTACCCATCTCACAAGGATGGGAGGCTGAGTCAACCTTGAGCCAGTCAGGATTGAACTCCTGAAGTCGGCAGACTTTAGTACCTGTAAAACTGGTACTACATTCTAACCACTGCGCCACCAGAGCTCTTGATTGAGCCAGCTTGAATGATAGGCAGAAATTCATGGGGGAATGAGAAGAGGCTTTTGGGTGGTCTCCTTGAAGTTCTGAGATTATGATAAGTCTTTATTTCATTTCATTTAGAATAGAATAGAATAACAGAGTTGGAAGGGACCTTGGAGGTCTTCTAGTCCAACCCCCTGCCCAGGCAGGAAACCCTACACCACTTCAGACAAATGTTTATCCAACATCTTCTTAAAAATTTCTAGTGTTGGAGCATGCACAACTTCTGCAGGCAACTTGTTCCACTTATTAATTGTTCTAACTGTCAGGAAATTTCTCCTTAGTTCTAAATTGCTTCTCTCTTGGATTAGTTTCCACCCATTGCTTCTTGTCCTACCCTCAGGTCCTTTGGAGAACAGTTTGACTCCCTCTTCTTTGTGGCAGCCCCTGAGATATTGGAACACTGCTATCATGTCTCCCTTTCTCTCCCTTTCTCTCTTTCCTTTCTTCTGGAAGTTTAGGATGGTGCGTGGGGGAATTATTTCATCCTCCCAGCAGCAATCTGATAAAGTAGATTGGGTTGAGAGAATATAGAACAGCGGTCCCCAGCTTGGCCCGGTGCAGCGGGGGAGGGGCTGTGAGTGGCAGGTGCACGTGCCCTCTGCTCACATGAATGCAGCTTCGTGTGCAAGCGGTGGGCACTTGCCCGCGAAGCTCCACTCAAATGAGCGGAGGATGCTTAGGCTCGTATGCAAAGCTCCATTCGTGCAAGTGGAGCTTTGCACATGAGCACAAGCACCCTCCACTCATACAAGCGGAGCTTCGCACACGTGCGCTTGCCTGCCACTCGCGCAATTGGAGCTTTGTAAGTGCATGCCTATCCATCGCTTGCGTGACCCAATTTCAAACAGGCCATAGATCGGTAATGGACTGCAGCCCCGGGATTGGGGACTGTTCTGCCCCAGCTACGGACACCAAGAACGCAGCACACACGAAGTCCATTCAAACCTTAATTTACTGAATAAACCAGTCTTTTACAACAATGGCTGTTAATTAATTGCATTAACAGCCGCCAAGAATTCAAAAAATAATAACTGAAAACTTACTATGGTTGGCAGAATGCCCAGAAGCAATTTGCAGGAAGCTGATAAGATAAGCAAGACAAGACACGAAGGTATGTGAACTAAGTTGTTCCCTGCAAATTGCTTCAGTCGGCGTTCCTCCTTAAATAGGCTAAGGGAGTGGCCAATTAGCCCCAAGCCTTGCTCTCAAGGAGACCTCCTCCTGAGGAGCCACTCCTGCCACTCCTGGCTCCTCCTCTTTGTACTCTTCACTTAAGGGAGCTTCTGGAGGTTCTGAAGGCCCTGGCTGAATCCCCACTTCTGGCACCACATCTTCTCCAGCCTCCTCATTGTCCGACTCGAGTGCCAGCTGCACACGCTGCTGGCGCAGCACCACACCAGCCTCCTCGCTGTCAGAATCAGCTACTAGCTGCACAGGCCGCGTACGGGCCACAACAGGGACCCCTGTTATAGAACATAGAATTACAGAGCTGAAAGGGACCTTGGAGGTCTTCTAGTCCAATCCCTTGCTCAAGGCAGGAGACCTTACACCATCTTGGTCAAACGGTTGTCCAGTCTTTGTTTGAATTTATAGTCAAAAATCACATTTTCGTCCTCCTGGTTTCTGACCGACATTTCAATTCTCATTCACACCAGTAATGCTGTGAACAATCATTGGGATTGGAGCCTACTTACACTGGTATCAGTGGGAGAAAATGTGGAGCCTTCTTTCATGTAGTTTCTGTATCTAAGTCAATGTTGGCCCCTTTTCCCCATGTTGATTCACATCCCAGCTTTCTTTCAGGTGTTACATATGTATATAGCAAGTGAAGCCAGGGATGTAGTCTTCACTCAGGTCCGGGTTTAGCTGGACATTTGCATGCCCACCACTGATTGGTGGATTCAAACAGGGCCCGCCACTGATTGGTGGATTCAAACGGAGGGAAATGTAAAGCGTTGTCAGTGGCTGAATCCGTGGGACTGCTCCCTTTAAAAGGGAGTGCTGCCGGCTCAGCCTTAACAGAAGTCACTTACTTCAATAAAGAGCTGAAGTTACTGTCTGTCCTCCTGCCTCTTCATTGCCTCCCACGATCTAACATCAACTTTATGCAATATTTTGTATTTTAAATTAATTTTAGCTGGATTCCTAGAAAAAGAAGTAAGCTGGTTTAGAAGTAGGGCAGCTAATCAGGGTTTTTTTTTCTCTGCTCCCAATTTAGCAGTCATGGAGTTAATTCCCATCTCCCAACAGCCCCAGAAAATTCCAGTGCTTTCCCACCCCTTCAAACAGCTCTTCTCTCTCCTTCCTCCCAAAATCACATATACGGTCTGCGCATTTATCCATCTGAATTAGTGCATGTATATTTGCCTGGTCATGTATGAAACATTCCTCCTGAACAGCTAATAGCTTAATCAATCCAGAGAAGCCTCAAAAATCTTCTGGGCCGGGATATCAATGGATGTGTGTATTAACCCAAATATCTTGGCACAGCTGCACGCTGGCAAAATGGTGTTTGGGAGCTGTTCCCAAACTAGATTCAGGGGGTGGTAGAAAATGAGACCTCTAAAAAAAGACTTCAGTGAAAGATCCTATGTGATTCTTACAACTGCACCTGAAGCAAAAATCAATATATGCTTATGTATTCCTTCTGAAATTCTTAAATGCTACACATTCTGCCGTCTCGTGAATCACACCGGATCCCACAGGTGGGTGAAACAGAAATTCTGTTTGTGGATTCCAGAGAAATTCTTGGCAGGAAAAACTATGAGCCAGGCAGGCAAGGAGGTTGTAGCTTTACTGATGCTAATCCTTTACTTTTTCTCCCAGGCTGCACTTGTAATGAACAGGGCACTTTGCCCACCCACTGCTCCGAAGGCATCTGCCATTGCGATCAAACTACAGGCCATTGCCCCTGCCGTGCCAACGTGGTGGAAAAGAACTGCGACAGATGTGCCCAGAACTTCTGGGGTTTCGGCAGTGACTTGGGCTGCCAGCCATGTAACTGTGATCCGACCCATTCGTTGCGCGCAGACTGCAACATGGTGAGGGGCTAAGTCTTTGGAAAGTTAACCCCAAATGAGAGGTGCTAAAACAGGCCCGCTGACTTAGGGGCTTCTGCTATATCACTGCCCTCATTCTAAATTGCTTCCCCCTCCCCCCCGTTTTTATTTTTACTCAGTTTACAGGGCAGTGCCACTGCCAGCCAGGTTTTGGAGGCCGCGTTTGTTCTCATTGCCAAGAAAACCACTGGGGCGACCCCGAAGATCAGTGCTTAGGTAAATATGAGCATCAAATGTAATCAGGCACTTTCTACCAACAGTACAATGCGCACACAAAACAGCAGATTGAAAACCCTATCAGATTAAGAGTTGGATGTTTGGGAACAGTGGTGAAATGTAAAATTTGTTACTACTGGTTCTGTGGGCATGGCTTGGTGGTGGTGGTGGGTAATGTGACTGGGTGGGCGTGGCCAACTTTTTTTTTTTTTTTAACTTTTAAAAGCATTTTTTCTACAACTCCTTCGGCCGAAGAGATTGTAGAAAAAATGTTTTTAAAAGGCTCTGACGATCCCAGCTGAGTTGCCTGATCGTCAGAGGCTTTTGTTTTCTTTTAAAAGCATTTTTTTTTGCTTTTAAAAGAAAAAAAAGCCTCTGACGATCAGGCAACTCAGCTGGGATCGTCAGAGCCTTTTAAAAACATTTTTCTACAATCTCTTCGGCCGAAGAAAAAAATGCTTTTAAAAGTTAAAAAAAAAAAAAGCCTCTGATGATCGCGCTGCTCAGCTGGGCATGGGAGTGGGGTGGGCAGGGATTTTTGCTACCGGTTCTCCGAACCACCCGCCATCATTGCTACCGGATTGGGCGATCTGGTCCAAACCGGGAACATTTCACCCGTTTGGGAGGTTGTTCTCGTGGGAATAAGTTTAGAATTATGCCAGATTGTAAACCAGCTTTCCCCAATTTGGCATATTAGATGTCTCCTGCCATCATTCTCATTAGAATCAAAACTTTTAAATTCTAATCAAAGCTAGAAAATGGAACTATCTCCATACAAATGAAAATGTGAAATGTCACATACAATGGTAGGCTTATAATGAGGGAGCAGAATATATTAGTTTTATGATATTTCAGGTTGCTTGTTTATGCCCCCACATTTTGGTATCCGTGCTTGATTTTCTTTATTGTGTTATTTATTTATATTAAATAAACATTGATCTTAAATGTTGCATTCACAATTTTTTTAAAAAAATTGAAGCTGCACACTTGGGGAAGATACCAAATTGGTATCTTGCTCTAACCTCCATCTCCTATCAAACCTATTCTATAATTTAGTAAAGGTAAAGGTTCCCCTCGCACATATGTGCTAATCATTCCTGACTCTAGGGGGCAGTGTGCTCATCTCTGTTTCAAAGCCGAAGAAACAGGGCTGTCCGAAGACGTCTCCGTGGTCATGGGGCCGGCATGACTAAACGCCAAAGGCGCACGGAACGCTGTTACCTTCCCACCAAAGGTGGTCCCTATTTTTCTACTTGCATTTTTTATGTGATTTCGAACTGCCAGGTTGGGCAGAAGCTGGGACAAATAATGGGAGCTCACGCTGTTACGCTGTTACGCGGCAGTAGGGATTCGAACCGCTGAACTACCGACCTTTCGCTCGACAAGCTCAGTGTCTCACTGAGCCACCGCGTCCCTATAATTTAGTAGTGGATCCAAAATATAAAAAAATAATATTAACAATTATATACGATGACCCTTCCTTCCTTTCTTTTCTTCTTTCCTTCCTTCCTTCCTTAATTTTTCTTTCCCTTTCTTTCTTTCTCTGTCTCTCTCTCTTATTAGCTTATTAACTTTTCTTGGATATGACCTCTGTCTTTACCCTCTGCAGCTTGTAAATGTGACCCTATCGGCTCTGAGAGTCCGCAGTGTGACCGTCTCACTGGACATTGTTTATGCCGCGGCGGCTTTACGGGGAGAAACTGTAACCAGTGCCAACGTGGTTTCCAGAAGAATTTTCCCCACTGTTCTCCCTGCCATAAGTGCTTTGGCCAGTGGGATCTCGTGCTAAACCAGTTCAATGAGCAGCTGCAAAGGCTGCAGGACAGAGTGCGGGCCCTGAAGGAAGGCGGCCCAATACCTGAAGCCAGCAACAGCCGTCTGCGCAGCCTGGAGAGCAGCTTGGCTTGGGTGGAGCAGCTTCTGATGGATGGAAAGAGTCTGAGTGGTTCTGTGCTGCAGCAGCTCAACAACCTCCTAGCAGATACAAGGTAGGAGAAATAGGTATGCCAATAGGCAGGAGGTGGGGAGAACAGGTAGGAGAAACGGAGATATGGTCTCTTGTTTGTTTTCTGTGCATGACACACACTCTGCTTTTTGATGATGATGATCATTATCATCATCAGCTGCTGAAAGTAGAATAGAATAGAATAGAATAGAATAGAATAGAATAGAATAGAATAGAATAGAATAGAATAGAATAGAATAGAATTTTTTATTGGCCAAGTGTGATTGGACACACAAGGAATTTGTCTTGGTGCATACGCTCTCGGTGTACATAAAAGAACAGATACATTTATCAAGAATCATAAGGTACAACACTTAATGATAGTCATAGGGTACAAATAAGCAATCAGGAAACAATATCAATATAAATCATAAGGATGCCAGCAACAAAATTACAGTCATACGGTCATAAGTGGGAGGAGATGGATGATGTTGAAGTAATACATAAGACCATCATAAGTCAATTCTCAGTCAGTTACCGTCAATTCTCTGTACAGTTCTAAAGCTGCAGACTTTGCCTAGAATTCACTAAAATGATCTTAAGCGTTATAATTGTTGGAAGAAATGTCCATCTGGGTTCAGTTCCAAGTAGGGAGAAAAACACTGGAAACATGGAGACTACTTGGAAAGTTGGTTTAATGGTGGATAGGACCACATGGGGTTTTTGGGTCCTGGGCAAAAAACAAAAAAATCACATGTGGTGGAGAGAGGCATATATTTATACCCCCTGTTGGGCTTTGAATTTGAGCTTGCATTCTGATTGGTTGTTAGACTCCCATGGGGCCATGCAGGGGTAACTTTGTAGGTTGTCTTTTGAGTCCCAGGCCTGGTTGAATCTTGCTGGGTGATGATGTAATGAAGAGGGTTTGGGGCAATTCCTATTATGGCTGAGGGCTAATCCTACCTTTGTTGGATCTCGTGAGAGCTATTAAGAGTGAGTCTGCTTCCTGCCTAAAAAACATGTTTCTCCATTTCTCATCTAGGGAGGTGTAATATTCTGCCCTTTTAATACTTCCTAGAATATTTCATTTTTCTAGGCAAGGGGTGGGTGTTAACTTCCTACACTTCCTATTACTTTACTATTTTTTGCCTAGAAGTCTGTTCTGACAGTGACTTCTAGGCCAAAAAAATCATGTTAGGTAAAAAAACTACAAATGCCAGATTCACTTAATGACCATCTAATTCACTTAACGACTGTGATTATTCACTTAACGATCATGACATAAAAGGTCGTAAAATTGGGTGCAGTTCACTTAATGATTGCCTTAGCTACTGACATTCCAATCCCAATTGTGTCAAGGAAGAAGGAAGTGACCTCAGATTAGTGAACAAAGCCCAGGCAAGGTGGGAAAGGGACCCAAAGTAAATCCTTACTCTCTCTATCTGTTGCCTATGGCCCCCTGGTGGACAGTAGTTGAAAGAGGCACTGTTCAGGTAGTCCTCGATTTATGACCACAATTGAGCCCAAGTATGAGTCAGTTGCTTAAGTTTCCGCATTTTGATCATGTGACAATAGAGATACTGCAACGGTTGTAGGTATGAAAAACCGTCATTAGACACTTTTTTTCCCCAGTGCTGTTGTAAGTTTGAATGGTCATTAAACAAACTGTTATAAGTCAAGTGTTAAGGGTAAAACTTCCCTCTGCATAGTAGGCAACAGACCGGACAGCAAAGAGATATGTTGCTGGTTAAACACACAGATACTCACAGACTCTGAACGGTGAAAAAAAACATTCTTTACTCTTAGTGAAAACACAAACTTGGTTTCTCAAAACTAAGGTTGCCAGGTGTCCACTATTTGAGCGGACAGTCCACTTTTTTCACATTATGTTCACTATTTTTTTTCACAAAATAGTGGACATTTTTTTTATTCAAAAGCTTTATGATTGTATATTTTTTAATATTTCTCAACGTTGTACTGAAATTAAAGAATTATTCCTTAAACACAAAGAATTGATCAAAGCTGCACAGTCAAATAAAAAATACACATGACAGCAAAGTAAAATGTAATTTCATATTTTACATATTATTATAATATATTTGATGTTTTGAATTTTAAGTAAAGTTTTGAAGTGATTATTTTAATACGTGTTAAAATGTTTGTAAGAAAATATATAATTTAATTGTAATTTTTTTTTTAATTTTTTTACTACTTAACACACACACACACACACACCGGCTTGTCCGCTATTTTTTGGAAGCAGACCTGGCAACCCTACTCAAAACAATGATAACACGTCTTCGAATAATCACTCTCCAACACAAAACATAGTTTGCTTACAGTTCTCTTCAGTCACACACAGTCCCTCTTCAGGAGATCAATCATCAAATAGCAGAAGCAGGAGCTCCGGGGCTTCCTGTCTACTTTTACGGCTGCCTGATAATAGCACAGCCAATCATTCTTCTTATATCATTTAAAGTCACAAAATATAGTTTTTCTATATATTACCTACCCAACCGTAGGATAAATATCCAACATCAAGGATTACCTGTACTTTGGACTGCACCTCTCACAGAAGCAACAATACGAACACACAGGGTCTTGAAAATTATATAGTTCCTACAATTTTGGAACTTTACTTATAATGATAGTTCTAGGGCAGTGAGGGTTAACCTTTTTGCCGTTGCGTGCCAAAAGAGTGAGGCAGCGTGGGGGTGTCAAGCGTGTGCGTGCCCACACCCATAATTTAATGTGCCCCGCCCCCCCATGCATGCACATACGACCTCCCCCGTGCTCCCCCTGCTTTTGGCATGTGATGGCCCGGTGGGCCCTGTAGGCCTGTTTTTTGCCCTCCCCAGGCTCCAGAGGCTTTCTAGGAGCCTGGGGAGAGCGAAAATGGCCTTCCTCACCCTCCTGGCGGCCAGAAACGGCCCATTTCCCGATTTCTGGTAGGCCCGAAAGGCCTGAAAATCAGCTGGCTGGTGTACGCATGTATGCTGGAGCTGAGCTAGGGCAACGCTCACGTGCCCACAGATATGGCTCCACGTGCCACCTGTGGCACATGTGCCACAGGTTCACCATCACGGTTCTAGGGTTTATTTGAATGACTTTTTCAAAACCACAGAGATGTCTATCCTTTCCTTTGAAAAGTCTTCCTGAATTAAAGTTCTAAACCTTTAAAAGAGAGGAAGAGAATAATGGGGATAGGCATCACTGAATTATTTTCTTTCTGTATTTTCATTTATATCCACCCCTTGCTGCAAGTCCTCTGTCCTATTCATGTTTGTATAGTTTATGTGTGGCTAATTTCCATTGAGTGTCTTAAATTATGGCTTTCCTTGTTTTTCTTTTTTCAAATCTTCCTGAATTTGACTTTGAAGTTTTTCTTTTAAAGCAGAAGGATATCCCCCATGAGGGGAATACAGATCACTGAATTATTTTGCCTCTGCGTCTCATTTACAGCTAGTCCATGACTTAGAGCCATTCATTTAGTGACCATTCAAAGGTACAACAGCGCTGAAAAAAGTCACTTATGACCATTTGTCACATTTACAACTGTTGGATGCTTGGCAATTGGCATGTACAGTACTTATTTATTTATTATTATTTAAATTTCTATACCGCCCTTCTCCTTTCGGACTCAGGGCAGTGAACAGCCAAAAATAAAACATTTGTACACAAACGTTAAAATAGTTTAAAAATAATTAAATAAAGTTTGGCCCATAATTTAAAACATTCCAATTAAAATCAGTATCAATTTTAAAAACCAATATAAAATCAGGCCAGCCCGGCTAACTGAAAGAAATAGGTTTTAAGGGCCCGACAAAAAGTCCGGAGGTCTGGGATCACTCGTATCTCTGGGGGTAGATTGTTCCAGAGGGTAGGCGCCATCACAGAGAAGGCTCTCCCCCTGGGGGTCGCCATCCGACATTGTCTGGCTGACGGCACCCTGAGGAGGCCCTCTCTGTGAGAGCGAACTGGCTGGTGGGAGGCAATTGGTGGCAGAAGGCGGTCCCGTAAGTACCCCGGCCCTAAGCCATGGAGCGCTTTAAAGGTGATCACCAACACCTTGAAGCGCACCCGGAAGTCCACTGGAAGCCAATGCAGCTCGCGCAGGAGAGGAGTCACATGGGAGCGCCCCATCACTCCCATAATCCCCCGCGCAGCCGCATTCTACACCAGTTGGAGCCTCCAGGTGCACCCCAAGGGGAGCCCCATGTAGAGAGCGTTACTTATGACAGTTGCAGTATCCCAGGGTCAGGTGATCATTTTTTTGCAACCTCCTGACAAGCAATGTCAATGGGGAAGACAGATTCACTTAACAACCATGTTGCAGACTTAACAACTGCAATGATTCATGTAATTACTGGGGCAAGGAAGATCGTAAAATGAGGGCAAACCTCACTTAAAAACTGTCTCACTTAGCAACAGAAATTTTGGGCTCTATTATGGTCGTAAGTCGAGGACCACCTGTATATCCTATCTTTATTGCAAGGAATGTCTTGGCCAAAAAGCATATGGCGGAGTGGGACCTGTGCCATTATGTTACCCTCCTTTTCTTAGGGCAGACATGGATAAGCTGTGGGACTACCTGCAAGATACAGATTCGTGCCTGGATAGCACTGAATGGAAAGTCACAGAGCAGAGGGGCCACCTCAATGCGTTGAATGAAGAAGTAGACGAACTGAACCAGACTGTCAACTACCTTAGAAGTCAGCTGGGAAAGATGGTAAACGGCAGCTTCAGTGGTAAGGAACCCAGTTTTGGTCACCGCGATGTAAAAAAGATGTCGAGACTCTAGAAAGAGTGCAGAGAAGAGCAACAAAGATGATTAGGGGACTGGAGGCTAAAACATATAAAGAACAATTGCTGGAACTGGGTATGTCTAGTCTGATGAAAAGAAGGACTAGGGGAGACATGATAGCAGTGTTCCAATATCTCAGGGGCTGCCACAAAGAAGAAGGAGTTGAACAATTTCCCCAAGCACCCGAGGGTAGGACAAGAAGCAATGGGTGGAAACTAATCAAGGAGAGAAGCAACTTAGAACTAAGGAGAAATTTCCTGACAGTTAGAACAATTAATCCGTGGAACAACTTGCCTCCAGAACTTGTGAATGCTCCAACACTGGAAGTTTTTATGAAGAGATTGGACAACCATTTCTCGGAAGTGGTATAGGGTTTCCTGCCTAAGGAGGGGGTTGGACTAGAAAACCTCCAAGGTCCCTTTTAACTCTGTTATTCTGTTCTAATTGTAGTTGCCATGTTACGTAAAAGGAGCATCCATACAACTCATGTTCCTTTCTTGATTAAACCCTGTTTTTCCTCTGCCGGCAGAGTCTTTCCGTAGCATCGTGGAGTACTTCCAGCAGTCAGAACAGGCTATGAGGCAGGCCAATGCCTCCGTTCGAGGGCGTCAAAGTCCCGTGGTCCAAGCCAAACATACCCGGCAGGTCACTGTTGAGCTGTTGAGACAAAGAGGAAATGATTTTGGCAAGAGGGCAGCTGCTCGCCAAAGGACTCTGAATAATATCCAACGAAAAGTCGATGCCCTCAGCCTAAACAGGATCAACCAGAAAGTAAGTTCCGTAAGAGGGAAGGAGTAGCAGTGGGAGAAGTCGAGAGGAGTTTGCTCGGAGATGGAAATGGTAGCCCTGCCCAAACCGCCTTCTGGTTAGACTACAGATGGACCAAAGTGCCAGTTCTGGTTCTGCAAGTTTGCCAGTTCTAAAAAGTTTGGGGTTTTTTTCCAATTCCTGATGTTTGCAAGCCAGCCAGGTTTACTAGGTTGAATTTGAGAACTTTTCTATAAGAATGGTCACTTAAACATGTATGGTTTTCATGCGATCTCCAATCGTGTATGTTTTTCTTTGCAATGGTGTCTAATACACACAATTTTTTAAATATTCCCTGTCAGGCCCCAAGAACCAAGAATGACACAGGGAGAAGCTTCTGAGTAGTTTCCTTTATTGTTCTTCACCTATAGACAGAATCTTGCCAGACTAAAGCAACTATCTACATAGCTACAGCTACATATAACTATAAGTTATACTCTTGAGAACTGCTGGTTTTAACTCTCTTCCTGCTGAGCAAACTTTCCAAGCTCTGTTCCTTTTTGCCCTCTGGAAAGCAGTCCCTCCCCCCTGGGAATCCATATTACATTCCACCACATTCCCTAATGTAATAGATGTTTACGCATGGCAATTTGTATTTTGTTGAGATTTTTCCCTCATGTGTTATTTTTAATAGAAATTACATTGCAGAATTTGGAAAAAAAATGCCAAATTTAGGTTCATGCATATTGGTTAAACAAACAAACAAAAATAGACAAGTTTGCAGTCAAATGCACATTGAATTCATATCCCTTTCCTGCTCCTTGTTCCTGAGTCCAGCCTTTTCATTCTTGGTCTATTGATGAGGTCCACTGTTCACCGGAGATTTCTTTTCGCTGGATAATCTTGGTTTGTCGTCTTGTTCTAGATCTGTGGAGGTTCTGGAGAAGAGGCCTGTGAAGACGCTCCTTGTGGAGGAGCTTCCTGTAAGGACAATTCAGGTCAAAGGCACTGTGGAGGCCCTGATTGTACTGGAGCTCTTCCTGTGTCCACCAAGGCCCTACATTCTGCCCAGAATCTCTCACAACAGCTGGAGACTACAGCAAGTCAGCTGGTCACCATTGTTAACAAGGTACAATGCCAGGCTAACTGTATGGAAGCATCCCATGAAGAGATGCTGTTAAATTGTAGATCACATTTCTTAGTTGATTTAATGTATGTATCGGGTTGGGATTCTACCGGTTCGGACTGGTTCGGGAGAACCGGTAGCTCCGACAATCAGCTGGGAGCGAACCAGTTCGCCTTGACATTCAGATGGGCCCACCCGCCCGCCCGTGCTATTTTCAGACCTTTATCTTCTCAGCTGATTCGCGCGGTAGAGCAGATTGCTGCGCAAATCAGCTGTGTTACTCCTCCAAAGAAACTGGGAAGTGAAGATTCCTTGAAAGTGCACGCACAGCGCACGCAAATCACACGAACACCGAACCGGTTGTTAAACAGGGAGGATCCTACCACTGGTATGTATGTATGTATGTATGTATATATGTATGTATGTACATATGTGCTTTTGTCAGGTGTAAGGAACCAGGATGACCTAGGGAGCTGATCAGAATGGTGTGCTTATTTCTACTTGCCTATTGATAGGAATCTTGCCAGACTAATTTATTTTATTTATTTATTAAATTTGTTTGCCATGCATATCGCCATGAGGTGATTCTGCATTCACAACAGAAACTACTACAGAAGCAATGCGAGGTTTAGGAAGGGCCTGCTTCCCGCAGCTTTCTCCCCATCAACTGATTCAAGGCTAGTCAACATTTTTAGTCCTCCCCTGGACTCGGATTCTAACACACTTTTACACCAGATTATTATTTTTTTAAAAAAAGAAAGGAACTAAAAGCCTTATAAAAACAATATGCAGTAATGTATAACCGTGTGTGTGCCTTTCAATGGTACTGTTTTGCAGACGATATTAAGCCTGATTTGCTAAGTATTCTGACTTATTGTGTTGAGCAGCTGATTCACACATGCTGATTAATGATTTCTGGTTAACTCCTCCTGTCCCCAGAAATGGCTTAAAAAGAAGTGTGCTAAGTGAGTTTTTCCCCCTTTTATGACCTTTCTTGCCACAACTCTTAACTGAATGGCTGCAATTGATGAGCTAATAACATGGTTGTTAAGGGAATCTGGCTTCCCCATTGATTTTGCTTGTCAAAAGGTCGCAAAGCCTGTTCACAAGATTTTGGGGCACAGCAATGGTCATAAGTATGCCCATTCAGATGCCAAGCATCTGAATTATGATCGTATGACCCTGAGGGCGCTGCAAAGGTTGCAACTGTGAAAAACGGTCAGGTCACTTTTTTTCAGCCCTGTTGTAACTTTGAATGGTCACTAAATGAACTGTTGTAAGTCGAGGACTACCTGTAAATAAGCATTCTTCCTTAAAAGTCAGGGTACTGTTCCTGTTGTGAACAGTTCCAATGTTTGGTCACAAAAGTGTCCAAAAAAAACCCCACACTACAGTAAAGTGCACAGGTTGAATTGAAAAAAAAAATCAAGATAGTATTTACCACTGTTCAAACAAAGCCCACCCTACATGCATTACATCAGGGATGCCAAACTACATTTCATTGCGGGCCGCATCAGGGTTGTGTTTGACCTCACGGGGTGGGCGTGGCCAGGGTGGGCATGGCCAGCTTGACATCACTTGGGTTGGGGGCGCCTGTGGTGGCCCGAGCGCTCTGTCAGCAAAAATGGGCTCCCGAGCTTCCTTTTTGGCTGCGACGGCAACCCTCTGCCAGCAAAAACGGAGCTCGGGAGGTCCGTGTGCAGCCCTCGTGAATTCTGTTTTGCTGGCAGAGGTACCACGGGCTGTTTCCAGGGTGGCCCTGCAGGCCAGATCTAAGCACTCAGTGGACCGCATCTGAACCGCGGGCCTTGAGTTTGACACCCCTGCATTACATGGTCATGGCATCATTTTTTTCATCCCCCTACTAGATGTCCCTGAGAAATACTAAACTGAAGCTTCCATTCTAGGTGCAAGAAGTCCAGAACCTGGCACAGGATGCCAGGAATCATGCTCAGGACATCTTGGACCATGCTCAAGGAGCTCGGAATCAGGTGGAGAAGTCCACAGCCAAGCTGAGAGAATTCATCCAGAAGATAAAAGACTTCCTAGCAGGTACCAGAGCATTGCTCATACCAAACCTGAAATAAAGTATGTCTAAAAGTAAATGTATCCTCCTGCTGCCTTAATAAAAGGCACCTTCGAAGAATCATAGAGTTGGGAGAAATATTGGAGATGTTCTAATCTAATCCCCAGCCCAGAGCAGGAATCCTCATGTTCTCCCCAGACACATGGCTATCCAACCTTCCATTCAGTGGTGGGTTTCAATTTTTTTTACTACCGGTTCTGTGGGTGTGGCTTGGTGGGTGAGGCATGGCTTGATGGGCGTGGCTTGGTGGGCGTGGCAGGGGAAGGATACTGTAAAATCTCCATTCCAACCCTACCTCCCGATCAGCTGGGACTCAGGTGGCAGAGAATAGATGGGGACGGGGCCAGTCAGAATTTTTACTACCGGTCTCCGAACTACTCAAAATTTCCGCTACCAGTTCTCCAGAACTGGTCAGAACCTGCTGAAACCCACCTCTGCTTCCATTCCCCATTATCCTGTCAGAGCTGAAGAAGCTTCTTGGATGAGAAGTGAAACGTCTTCAAAAGAAAAAAACCCAAGAAAGTCCAGTTGCCTCCTGATAAAGCACCTTTGGGACAACCATGACCTGGATCAGGGGTCTCCAACCTTGGCAACTTTAAGACTCGTGGATTTCAACTCCCAGAATTCCTCAGCCAGCTTCCTCAGCCTGGCTGAGGAATTCTGGGAGTTGAAGTCCACAAGTTTTCAAGTTGCCAAGGTTGGAGACCCCTCACCTGGATAATTGAGAATATCTACAGACTTATGGCTATCCAACCTTTACTTGAAAACTTCCGGAGATGAAGCTCCCATGATTCTAGGGACTCTCACGCTCAAGAAATTAGTAACAGTAACAAAGTTGGAAGGGACCTTGGAGGTCATCTAGTCCAACCCCCTGCTCACGCAGGACACCTGTACTAGGGATTCGAACCGCCAAACTGCCGACCTTTCTGATCGACAAGCTCACTTGTCTTAGCCTCTGAGCCACCTAGTCAGGCTAATGAGGATTTGGGGGGGCTAAAAATTCCTCATTTTGAGTTTGGATCTCCCTCTGTAAAGCTTCCACCCATTCTTGCCCTACGCAGGAAGGAGAATAAGGATCTTAGTAATGGAAGTGTGTCCTGACAATGTTCATATTGTAATAATTGGTTTTGGGGGAGGGGGCTAGGCTGGTGACTGGGAAGCTGGATGGACAGTTTGCAGGGTAGGAGGACATTAAAGGCCTGTGCTTTTGCTCCCTAGAGGAAGGTGCCGATCCAGAGAGCATTGAGCTGGTGGCCCAACAGGTCCTGAACATTCCCCAGCCCATCAGCCAAAGTGAGATCGACAGTCTGATTAAGGAGATCTGGGACAGAATCGGCCAGCTTAACAGGGTGGATGTTATCCTGAACTGTACAGTGCAAAACCTAACCCTTGCTAGGGATTTGCTGACGAAAGCAGAACAGGCCAGGTAAGTGTCTCTGGCAGGAACAAAACCAACCCATTTTATTCATTCAATTTTTCAGTAAGGAAATAACAATGTTACATATTTTGCAGGATCGGGTCATTTAGTCGGGATCCAAGCTAAAGGGCCAACGAGAGCATGTGACCTTGGGTAGGATGGGTCCCTCTCATCTTTTATTATCCCCTTCTGAAGTTCAAAGGTTAGCACGGGACCCGTGCTGTGATTCGCTATGTTGTGAGGATGCAGCCCTCACCTTAGCATATTGCAGGGGTATCAAACTCAAGGACCGCAGCTGATAAGTTACTAACCCAGTTGTTAAGTGAATCTGGTTTCCTCGTTGACTTTGCTCGTGAGAAGGTCGCAGAAGGTCACATGACCTCGGGACACAGCAACGGTCCCAGTTGCTGAGCATCAGAATTTTGATCACATGATTGTGGGGATGCTGCATAGGTCGTAACTGTGAAAAAGAGTCATAAGTCACATTTTCAGTGCCATTGTAACCTTGAACGGTCACTAAATGTTGTCACTTTGAACGGCTGTAAGTTGAGGACTACCTGTAGATATCTCTGTAGTACCCACCTTCCTGCCCATGCTCTCTAGTGGTACCCACTGGTCTCCCTGCATTCAAGGAGCGCCTTCCTGCTCTCCTCACTGGCTGGCACACTCTAAGTAGTGCCCTCCCCAAGCCCCTCACCAGCCAACCCACATTCAGTTCTATTCACCCGTAGCTCCTCACCCACGAGCCTGCTTTGCCTAGGACTCTGGTCATGTAGTTTGTTTTCTCTTAACAAGCTGTATGGTTTTTGGTTATGATAGCAACTGGGACTGTTGGGATTGCTATCGCCTAAATGATGTGGTTACATATCATCGTGGTTTATAACTGCATTGCTTAGCAACAGAAATTCCACTCCAGATGGCTGTCGTAACCTGTGGACTACCTGTACTTTCGTCCCCAAAGCTTAATATGCAATAACTGTTACCCTTGGTGAAATGTGATGAAGTTCTTTTGTTTTGTTGTGCTTCTTCTCCACAGGAAAAAAGCAGAAGGTGTACAGGAAACGGTGGCAGAAACATCTGGAGCACTGGACAGTGCCAAGAACAAAGTGAAGGCAGCTGAGCAGGCCCTGAAAAAGACAAAAGAAGCCATCCAGAATGTGGAAGGCAAAGTCAAACAGGTGAAGTGCAGAAGTTTCTAATTTTTGGGAAGGAAGGGAGTTGTGAGGTAATCAAGACCCTGGATAGCTTTTCAGATATTCTGTGGTGACGCAGTGGTTAGAATGCAGTACTGCAGGCTACCTCTGCTGACTGCCGGCTGACTGCAATTTGGCAGATCGAATCTCACCAGGTTCAAGGTTGACTCAGCCTTCTATCCTTCAGAGGTGGGTGAAACGAGGACCCAGATTGTTGGGGGCAATAGGCCGACTCTGTAAAACCGCTTAGAGAGGACTGTAAAAGCACCATGAAGTGGTATATAAGTCTAAGGGCTATTTCAGTGGACAGTTCCGGAGTATTTTCTGTTATCTGCCCTTTCATTCTGCCCTTCGATGATTCTGGAGGTAAGATTCAAATTCAGCTCCTCCTGTTTTCAGGGCTGCGTGCATGCCATTTTCTTGTCAACAAAGAACCAATCTTCTGCCTTCTCTTGGGACTTGTATTTGTATTCCCAGATTAATTTATAGCCCTGGTATTTTCTTGACATCTCCCATCCAGGGATTAACCAGATCCAAACCACTTTTGGATTCTCGTTCAGTGGCGATAAGTGCAACCTTTGAGAAACCTGAAAGACAGGTTACAATGTCCCGGAAAAACTCTTTATCTAAGAGGTCTCTAGGAGTTGAAAACAACTTGATGGCCACATAATGAATGAACCAATCCTCTTTTGCTTTTCAGCATCACCCAAGACTGGCATTTAAGAAAATGCTCTTTAATGTCACTCCAAAGCTGAAAATGTCATGGATATTTCCTGAGGGCAAAAGCTCTTTAATGCAGGTAGTCCTCGACTTACGACCACAATCGAGCCCCAAACATTTATGTTGTTAAGTGAGACATTTGTTAAGTGAGTTTTGCCCCATTTTACCACCTTTCTTGCCACAGTTGTTAAGTGAATCACTGCACTTGATAAAGTTAGTAACCCGGTTGTTAAGTGAATCCGGCTTTCCCCCCTTGACTTTGCTCGTCAGGAGGTTGCAAAGTGTGATCACGTGACCTTGGGACACCGCAGCCGTCATACATGTGAATCGGTCGCCAAGCGTCTGAAATTTGATCACGTGAATCATGGGGAGGCTTCAAAAATCGCAAATGGGAATGGACCAGTATGAATGGTCACTCAATGAACTGTTGTAAATCGAGGACTACCTGTATTAAGCCAGTGGATTATGATTCTATGAAGCTTTGGGTACCTAATAGCAATGTTCTTCAACCTTGGCCACTTGAAAATGAGTGGATTTCCAATCCCAGAATTCCCCAGCCAGCACTCATCGTAACGTTATCAGGGTTGAGAGGCAGGGCCTAATAGTACCAAGCTCACTGAAGGAGTTACACTTCCCTCTCTTAAGTATCCGTCATTGTTTGCAAGATCACTTCACCATATATCAGCACCCTTTTGAAAGGCCTCTGGTTAATGCATTAAATATAGCTTATCTCATCCTCACAGTATCCCTGCTTTATCTGACTTCTAGTCCATTTTTAAATGATCTTGGCGTCAGTCTGCATACAGAATGTCAACCAATCTAGTCTTAACCTGAATATAATATGTATTGTACATGCCCCCAACATTATGGAATTACCATTGATGCATGAGAGATGTATTTGTGATACCAAATTGGTAATGCTAAAATGTCACATATACACACATAAATATAAATTTAGACTTTTATGGTGCCACAAGACAGTCACTTCTGCTTCAAAATCAGAGGTGAGTTTCAGCAGGTTCTGACAAGTTCTGGAGAACCAGTAGCAGAAATTTTGAGTAGTTCGGAGAACCGGTAGTAAAAATTCTGACTGGCCCCGTCCCCATCTAATCTCTGCCTCCCGAGTCCAAAGTGATCGGGAGGAAATAGGGATTTTGCAGTATCCGTCCCCTGGAGTCGGGTGGGAATGGAGATTTTACAGTATCCTTCCCATGCCACGCCCACCAAGCCACGCCCACCAAGCCACACCCACAGAACCAGTAGTAAAAATTTTTGAAACCCACCACTGTACAAAATCCTATCATGGCTATTATGAAATGGTCCCAGTAATCCATAATCAGTACCATCTGTCAAATATATACCGATCTTGCCAGTTTATTTTACGATATAATTAAAATAAGCAAAATGGTATAGCACTAAAACTTCAGACTGAGGGGTTGTTTATGAGATGGAAATGAGAAGGTTACTTTTCTGATTATGGAAGATTTTAAAAAATTCTCTGGCATCTTATTATTCTTAAACATCAGAAGGCAGATTTAGCAGCAAAATAGATACAGCTAATCCCTGACTAGTGACCGTTTCAAAGTTACGACGGGCCTGCCTTGGGGCTACATATGACTCAGATTTGAAGTTCTGATGGTTGCCCTCATCATCGTCACATGATCAAGTTTGAGGTCCTTGGGCAACATGGTCACTTTTACAGTCATTTGCAGCCTCCCACAATCATGTAACAGCATTTTATGATGGTTTTGCTGAAAATTGGCACTTAGATCTGTTCGGCAAAGCTGTGACCCCTGCAAAAAACAATTTTATGACCAACACAACTTATGACTATAATTGTGGCCTCAAAGACTATAGAGATTCTGAGTCATACAGGTCATGGTTGTCCCAAAGGTGCTTTTTCAGGAGACAACTGTACTTTCTTGTTTTTTCTTTTGAAGATGTTTTGCTTCTCATCCAAGAAGCTTCTTCAGCTCTGACAGGGCAGTGGGGAATGGAAGGATTTCTATTCCTTGCAGACAGCTGGTAAATCTGCATCCTTTTAGAGCAAGGGTGTCAAACTCACGGCATCATGGCGGTGTCACGTGACGTATCGGAACTTTTTCCCCCCTTCTCTAAACTGGGCGTGGCCAGCGCGTGACGCATCTGGCCCGTGGGCCGGGAGTTTGACAGGCCTGTTTTAGAGGGTCGCTGAAGCACGTGGAGGTATATCTGTGTCCTCAGGGTCACCTGAGTAGTGCTCCTGGTTCCTGTAGTCTGCAATTTTTTTCTTCTGGAAATCCATTCCTACTTTCACACCATTCAAAGGGTGTTCATCCCAAATTGTATAGCTAAAAGTCTATAGAGATTCTCAGTCAACCAGGTCACGGTGAGAAGCGAAAAGTCTTCAAAAGAAAAAAAAAAAAACAAGAAAGTCCAGTTGCCTCCTGAAAAAGCATTTTTGGGACAATTCTGGCCTCAGTTAAGATCGTAAGTCAAGGATTACCTGTGCATCCTTTACGATTATCATTTTATTGCCCTATATATTATACAGTATCTTTCTCTAATTTATTGCAGCAATCATTTTCTTCTATGCAATTTTTCTTATCTACAACTTCATCCTTCCAGCAAGCATTCTTTTTCATATTTCATATTAATGTAATTCCACAAACCCCCTGTCGTCTGCAGCTTAATTCTTATCATTCTGTTCCACATCACTTCCAAATCCCCTTTCCTTACACTCATTTTCTATTAATCCTGGCTCCTCCTGTATTAGGAGATTAATCTATCTTCTAATGATGTTTCATGTGAGGCTCATGCTTTCTCTTGCAGTTAGTATACTTTTCATTTCTTTCACTTCCTTCCTTTCTTCCAAAATGATTTTTCTCTGATCCACTCATGACATCTCACATTCAGACCTTCTTACTATATATACTTGGACCTTCAGTAATTCTTTCAAGGCTTTCATCATAGACAATCAAATCAATCAGGTTTTTTTTATGCTTGCACATGAATAGTTTTATGGTTAAAGCATTGTTGTATATTCTAAAGAAACATATAATTATGAAATGTATTTGAATATAAGTAGCTGGGCTATTGGTCTGAGCTCCAAGCTTGGCAATTTGGTTGCAAACGTTTTGTCACCATTCAAGGAGACATCATCAGTGCGCTCAAATGGTGACGAAACATTTGCAACCAAATTGCCAAGCTCGGAGCTCAGTCCAACAGCCCAACATATAATTATTTCTGAACAGCAGTTGCCAAACTATTCATTTGTGGGTTTCTGAATAACCGAATCACTTTTTCTGCGGTCTCACATATCATCTATGCCTATTCACCTAAGAAATCTAATGGAATACTTTTTTTCTATAGGATCACATTGATTTAGAATGTTGTGTATTTTCCCCCAAACTCATGTTTGTTTTTTCTATTATTCGTTATTCATTGTACTGCAACTATTACCAGCCTATGAATTCTGACTTCCCTATATGCCCACATTAACCCAGTTGACTCTAATTAATATTTTCTGACATACATTTGGATATAACTTTCAGCTCATACAGGTAGTCATCAACTTCTGACTGGTCACTTAGCAACTATTCAAAGTTACAATTGACCTCCCTCCCAAAAAAAGGCAGGACATAAATAAAATTGACTTAAAGTCAGTTTTAGGGAATTTCTGATAAGTAGTTTGGGGTAATGAAGGAAACATTTGGGAAGCATCCCAGAGGTGCTTTTTCAAGAGGCAACTGGACTTTCTGGTTTTTCTTTGAAGACATTTCGCTTCTCATCCAATAAGCTTCTTCAGCTCGTGGGAAGCTATAGAGCTGAAGAAGCTTCTTGGATGAGAAGCGAAACGACTTCAAAGAAAAACCAGAAAGTTCAGTTTCCTCTTGAAAAAGCACCTTTGGGACAACCATGACCTGGATGACTGAGAATCTCCATAAACATTTGGGAAGCATTATTCTACTCTATTAACTTTCTATTAATTCCAATCTTTGTGTGCCAAAGATATACTGGAGGAGTCCCAATTCCAAAACTCATTTTTGTGTGAATGTGCCCTGAATGTGGATGTAACCTTTCTCAAAAGTCAACCCTTAATCATGCTTTGTGACTTTCTTTTCTCTCAGGCTGGGAGCCAGCTTGAAACGCTCCTCAATAAGGAACTGCGACTGGAAAGGCGTCTGAAAGACTTGGCACAGGATGTGGCCACCTTACAAAAGAAGTCCCAGGATAATCAACGCCAAGCTCAGCAGGCCACGGGAAAAGCTGAGCGTGCCACTAACATAGCCCTCCGGCTTAAAAATGTGAGAGACCCATCCTTGTCATTACTTTCATTAAAGGCAACTGTTTTCCGTAGTGGTAGTAACCAACTGTAGATTCACACTATAGTGCAGTTTTTCCTCATCCTTGGAAACTTTAAGATGTGTGGACTTCAACTCCCAGAATTCATGCTGGCTGGAGAATTCTGGGAGTTGAAGTCTACATATCTTACAGTTGCCAAGGTTGAAAAACAGAAGAATTCCAGAATTGCTACTTGACATGTTTTCCCCCACCTTGTTGTATCTCCTTCTTGGTAATGGCCTCTATCTTCATCTCCTCTTTGGAACTTCCTGTATATCTCCTTCCCGTGAAAGGTCCGTTGTCTTTCTGCACAGGGCTTTGTAGAAAAGATGATTCAAATTATTAGTATTCACCCAGTGGTGGGATTCAAATAATTTAACAACCGGTTCTCTGCCCTAATGACCGGCTGGGTGGGCGTGGCCATGATGGGCATGGCCAGTGGGTGTGAAAGGCAGCACTCGGTCTCCTGCACCTTGGACCTTGGAGGTCTTCTAGTCCAACCCCCTGCTTAGGCAGGAAACCCTACACCACTTCACACAAATGGTTATCCAACATCTTCTTAAAAATTTCCAGTGTTGGAGCATTCACAACCTCCGGAGGCAAGTTGTTCCATTGATTAATTGTTCTAATTGTCAGGAAATTTCTCCTTAGTTCTAAGTTGCTTCTCTCCTTATTAGTTTCCACCCATTGCTTCATGTTCTACCCTCAGGTGCTTTGGAGAATAGTTTGACTCCATCTTCTTTGTGGCAGCCCCTGAGATAGTGGAACACTGCTATCATGTCACCCCAGTCCTTCTTTTCATCAGACTAGACATATCCCGTTCCAGCAACCGTTCTTCATATATTTTAGCCTCCAGTCCCCTAATCATCTTTACTGCTCTTCTCTGCATTTTTTCTAGTTTGTTCTAGTTTCCATGTTTCTCTTTCTAGTTTCCATGTTTTTAAGGAGACCTTGTAAGATCTGGCGAGTACTTTGGAAAGCATCAATCAGGCATTAGATAGGCAGATGTCTCTATGGGAACCACATGGCATCAGTCTCTCATGCCACCAAAATGGTAATGGAGGGCAATGCCCAACAGCGAGAGAGGAGGAAATATTCTCATGGCAATCTGAAATGGCCAGTAGATGTTGAACAGATCCCATTCCCTAATCATCAATCGTAACCTTGATGAAGCATTTATGTGCTCAGGGTTTGGGTGAGGGTGGATGGGGCCCCTTTTTTTAAATGTAGGTTTTGTGTATGTTTTTGTATGGAGTGGCTGGATCCCATCTTGTCAATTTATTTTGTGCGGTATTGTGCTTTTATCTTGCTTTGCTATATTGTGAGCCGCCTAGAATCGATTCAGAGTTGAGCCGTGACTAAATTGAATTAAAGAAATTAAAGAAAGCATACTAGATCAGGCCCACAGCAGAAACTCTGTTGAGGGATGACACAAAAGACCACTGTTCATTAAAACTGAAATAGCCAAATCTGCCTCTGAAAAACAACTCAAAAGGCAACATCATTAAGTTACAGCATATTAAAAAGATTACCAAGGCCTGTTTGTATCACAGTTAGGGAACAGAAGAATGAACTCACAATCAATTAATCTACGTGTGTGTATATGTTAATTCTGCCAGAGGTTACACTCTTTGTATGCTTTACATCTGTTAATTAGAATATCTGGAAAATAGAGATCAGTAGGATTGCAGGAGAAATATTGGTCACCGCTGCAAAGTATCCCCCAAGTGCCAAAAATAAAGCCTGCAGGCAGAGTAGAAACATGGTAAATGACAAGCCATGATCAAGTGATCAAGCACATCAAGAGAAAAATGCAGAACGGCTGCTGACTTAGATAAATTGTGAAATAGGCCATGGTTTCATTTGATCTGTCTAGAACAGTGATGGCTAGGCTTTTTGTCGCCGAGTGCTGACACCCCCCCGGTGTGCCCCACCACGCATGAGCACGCGACCCCCCCATGTGCACCTCACCCCCCCCACACATACACATGCATCTCCCACATTCGCCTGACCCCGCACATGCACAGCAGAGACCCAAAAACCAGCTGGCTGGCAGGAGGCGCATGCACATGCACGATGGAGCTGAACTGGGGCGATGGCTCATGTACCCGCAGAGAGGGCTCTGCATGCCACCTGTGGCACGCATGCCATAGGTTTGCCATCACGGGTCTAGAAGTTTGTAAATGGCTTGCAAAGTCCACTAACAGTTCTGAAGGTGGTATGGAAACCTAGATACTGTTCTTAATTTCTGGGACCTAATTTCTTCATCTGCTTGGTTTGCTGGAAATAGACTAGCGGTTGGCTCAAAGGCAACCACCTCACCATTCTTCACCCATATTTACTCTGGGATTGATTGCCAACTTCTACCCATTTGCTTTGTGATGATGTTTTTCCCTCTGTGTCCAGGAGGTAGACGAGGTAAAGCAGAACTACCAGAAGCTGCAGGACGAATTGGAGAAACAGCCCAAGGATGTCCTGCTCAGGCTGAAAAATCTTAGGGAGGAAGCCCAGAACCTCCTAGATAAGGCCAACAACAGCAAAAGAAAACTGGAAGGTGAGAATCCAAGAGGAGAGTTTGGCTAAATCCCAACCTCATGTATCTTCTCAAATATATTCAAAAAATAAACATTGGTGTTGATGATGGATATTTATTGACAGGTGGTATGGGAACAGAGCTACATTGTCCAGCACAAAGTCCACATTTTGGATAGAGAGGACTATTGGTTTGAAAAAGGGGTAAACACAGGTAGTCCTCAATGTACGACCACAATTGAGCCCATAATTTATGTTGCTAAGTGAGAAATTTGTTAAGTGAGTTTTCCCCCTTTTTATGTCTTTTCTTGCCACATTTGTTAAGTGAATCACTGCAGCTGTTAAATGAATAACTTGGTTGTTAAGTGAATCTGGTTTCCCGATTGATTTTGCTTGTCAGAAGGCCGCAAAAGGGGATCATCTGACCCTGGGACACTTCAACCGTCATAAATGTGAGTCAGTTGTCAAGCATCTGAATGTAAATCACCATGACCATGAGAATGCTACAACTGTCGTAAATGTGAAAAACAGTCCTAAGTCACTTTTTTTCAGTGATGTTGTAACTCTGAACAGTCACTAAATGAACTGTTGTAAATTGAGGATTACCTGTAATCCATCTGTGTTAGAACTGAACACTCCTCCCTCAACAGAGGGGGAGGAGTAAGATACCACCTATCTCTAGTTTACAATGCAACTTTTGCAACTGTTCCAAGAAGATTCCACAAACAATTGAACCCTGATTCAGGTGACCCCAAGGACAAAGATAAACCCCCAAGTGGCCTCTAGAGGTCTCAGAAAGAGTACTAATGACCAGATGACTGCAAAGAAATACAATCCTTCCATTCCGCCCCCTCCCCCATCCTATCAGAATCTATCCTTCCACCACGACCCCATCCAATCTCAACTGTCAATACTTATCCTATTCCCCCCTCCCCCCACATCATCAGAAGTGATGAAGCTTCTTGGATGAGAAGCGAAACGTTTTCTTCTTCTTCTATCTCAGGAAAAAAAAACCAATCCAGTTGCCTTTTGAAGAAAAAAAAGCACCTTTGAGACTACGTAGTCCAGGGTGCCACTACCCCAGGCTAAACAATCTACTGAACAATAACAGATGATCATAAATATCCTGATCATTTAGGGAATTAGGGTCCTCGCTAAGCATGCCATGCGAACATAACACAATAAGTTGCACAATGAAAATCGTCTCGCAGTTTTTAGAAAATATTCAAAATGCAAAGAGGCTATGTTTTCAAGGGAACTTGAAAACTTGAATTTAGCAGATGCTGGGATATTTAAATTAATAATAGTGCAGCTATTCAAATCAAGGCAGGTTTTGTAAAAATTAAATTCAGAGCCTTTATCATCACCGAAGTTTGGAGTTTTGAAGTAACAGTACGATCAGAATCCATCATTCATAATGTAACAGCTTTGGCATTTTGCTTCATGCATCTCACTCCCCTTCTTAAAAGCAAAAAAAAACCCCTTGCTATTTCAGGACAGTGTTTCCTAATCTGGGGCCTTTAGATGCGATGGAATTCCTGGTCTGCATCTTAGTGTAACTAAAGTTGCATCTTTGCCAAGCTGGATAGAAATTCTGGCTGTTGCAGCAGTATAAACCCTATGCTTCTGGAAGGCACCAGAGTAAAGAAAGTGTTCCATAGTCTGCAATATCTCAAATTTTAAAAATTTCTGGCTATTCTTTCAGAATTGGAGAAGCGCTTTGAGGACAATGAGAAAGAAATGACAAGCAAAACCACAAAACTGCAGGAGTTGGAGTACACTGCACTGGAATTACTGCGGTATATCCAAGACAAAGCCACTGCCTATGCTACCTGCTAAGGTCAAGGTTTCTGTGGACAGCCCTTTGGGTTGGCTTCCTGCCAGCTCCGGACACAACTATGGTATGGTGCTTTCTACTGACGTCAATAACTGGCTCTTAGAGACAAGACTTTGGCAGTAAATCCAGAGTCTTAATGTAACCCAGATCATTTCATCCTCAACTGAGTGTAGCACTTAAATCTACCCGGGATCAGACGTTAATAGGATGATTCTAATGTGAATGTTTTGTACAAACAATATGTCTAGTTTGTTTTGACCCAGGACTCTGGAACATAGGCCAGTTTCTGAAGGTATCAGCTGGAGAGATAGAATATTCCCCCTGTAGTCGTAGAATGGGAACCAGTTTGGTGTAGTGGTTAAGGCACTAGGCTAGAAACCAGGAGATTATGAGTTTTAGTCTTGCCAAAGGCATGAACCAGCGAGGTGACCTTGGGCCAGTCACTCACTCTCTGCCCTAGAAAAGAGCCACAGGCAAACCAACTTCTGCAATCTTGCCAAGGAAACAGCAGGGACTTATCCAGGCAGTTGCCACCAGTCAACCATGATTTGAAGGCACCAAATTATTATCCTGGTTATGGAAATACTTCCTCTTTCAGTACCCTCTTCTTACCATTCACAATGTTATTTTCATTATAGTGTGGAAACAGCCATCATTTCTGTATCATCCAGGCTGCCAATATGAATGCCATAAAAGCTAATTTAATTGACTGCCATTTGAGATTACTGATCTTTCCTGACATCTTTTTTAATTATTGGTGTCCTTATTTTTTTAAAATAAAGTAATGCACATATACACAAAAACAATAATTTTCTAAGAGATTTTCCTATCCTGGTTCCCTCAATTCCCATAGTCATCAGTTAGCAACTAGGTGTTGGTTACAGCAAGACACATACAAACTCAGAATTAGGAGAAATTTCCTAACTGTGACAACCATTAAGCAGTGAAACCCCTCCTGGAGTCATGGCCGCTCCATCACTGGTGGTTTTCAAACAAAGGCTGAACAACCATTTGTATGTCGTGATATAAAGATCTTCTAGTCCAAGGTTGGACTAAAAGATCTCCATGATGATTTTCAACTTACTATTGTATGGTTTTAAGTCCAACATTGCTGGTTTGGAGAAGACTGCAGGTCATGACACAATATTCACCTCCTATGAATACTTATGAAGGTCTCCTATATCCCACTCCAGATGAGGAACTTCCATTAGTGAGTTAATGGAGGGACCTTGGTAGTACAGGGGTTTAAGGCACCCTGTTATTAAGCTGGTTATTAAGACCAGCTGCCTGCAATTACTGCAGGGTTCGAATCTCGCCAAGGCTCAAGGTTGACTCAGCCTTCCATCCTTTCTAAGGTAGGTAAATTGAGGACCCAGTTTGTGGGGGCAATAAGCTGACTTTGTATAAATATACAAAAGGATGAAGGCTATTGCTTAGCGCATTGTAAGCCGCCCTGAGTCTTCGGAGAAGGGCGGCATATAAATCAAATTTAAAAAAATAAATTAAAAAAAATGTCAGTAATGATTATTTTGGGTTACCATAGACATCAGCACACATTAATATTATTTTTTTTAAAAAGCAAGTTATGGAAAGCATGCTTAGCATGGCTTCTAGAATTCTTTCCAGGCCTTTAAGAGTGGCTCTATTTTGGGCCACCTGACCAGGATAAGTGGAGGCTTAAGAATAGAGCAGCTGGTAGCATCCTATTATGAGTCTCCCATAGGGATAACAGAATAACAGAGTTGGAAGGGACCTTGGAGGTCTTCTAGTCCAACCCCCTGCTCAGGCAGGAAACCCCATATCATTTCAGACAAATGGTTGTCCAATCTCATCTTAAAAACTGTCAGCGTTGGAGCATCCACAACTTCTGGAGGCAAGTCGTTCCACTGATTAATTGTCCTGTCAGGAAATGTCTCCTCAGTTTTAGGTTGCTTCTCTCCTTCATTAGTTTCCATCCATTACTTCTTGTCCTGCCTTCAGGTATTTTGGAGAATAGGTTGACTCCCTCTCCCTTAGATATTGGAACATGTTGCTATCATGTCATACCCAACTCCAGCAACTATTCTTGATATGTTTTAGCCTCCAGTCCCCTAATGGGGACTGGGATGCATGTTTCTGAACTTTATTATTCTTCATCAGATCTAACCCATTTTCTAACTCCATTTTTCTTTTCTTGATTTCTCCCTCTGCACACACCCCTTAAATATCCAGTTTACATCAGTTTTGCTGATAGAAAGACACACAGACCGACTGATAGGCAGGCATAATCCTAAATCCCTTTACATAATTTCTTTTCAACATTCTGTTGGGCTGGGAAGAATAAAAAAAAGATTGAAATAGATTCATACCCATTGTAATCTTAATAGTTTAGGATGAACTCTGGTTCTCTTATTCCCCTGTACAAGTAAAATGTAAGGAGAGAAGAGGGTTCCCCCAAAGTCTGTGGATGAATTTTCCTCCAACGTTTGATTAAACATTAGATGGAGATGGAGAATTGGACAACTTAGCAAATGATCAGTTAGAGATGATTTGTTGGAATGAGATAGATAAGAGATTCTCTTTTAACCGTGTTGACAAATGCAGAAAAATAAATGAATTGAAGTTTTTACCTTATTTGCATGTCTCCTCCTCCCCTTCAGACCCATCCGGTACAATACAGCGGGCATTGAAGGCAATCCTAGATTTTATGAGGTCTTTGCTTTTTCTTTCTTTTTTCTTCCATCCATCATTCAACTCGATTCCCACAGCCATTTTTTTTTTACCTATTTGTTTAGAGAAGACTGTGTTTCAAAGCTACTTAGGTAGATATTTAGCCCAATATAGTATGCCCTCCTCCATGTAATGTTTTCCTGTTACAGATGTAATTATCTGGAGATAAAGAAATGCCTCACTACCTTTACGGGTTTTCCTAACTTAATGGAGCTAGACGTCTACAAAGTGGAATTTTAAAATGTTCTTTCCTTGTAGTAATAAAGCCTTTGACCTTTCTGATTTTCTGGTGTATATTTATATATCTGTGCCTCCTGATACACTAATCTTATTTATGCTTCAAGGAATTCCTGTGAACCCTGAACTCTGAAACTGCAGCTAGATATTTCGGCTTTACTTTATCTACTTGCGATGGAAAGATCTTTGGGAATCCCCTTTTCTTTGTTGAGGCAATTTTTCCTGGCCTAGGCTTTTAATGAAGACTTCCTTATCCTAGTGTTTTCCAAACATATTGGACTCGAACCCCCATCATTCTCAGCCAACATGAGGAAAAAATGTACATTAATAGCTGGGTGTCAGACAAAAATCAAACATGTCTTTTTCACACCAATATTAAATCTCTCTGACTTTTATCACGCCCACAGTATTAAGAGGAGGGATTAATAGCAGAAGCTAAACATGATCTCTAAATAAAAGGAAAGAACAATGCTTCACTTATTTCCAGATACAGGCAGGGTAGTCCTTGATTTATGACCACAATGGGAATCAGAATTTCCATTGCTAAGCAAGGCAGAAGCGAAGGGATTTTACAACCTTTTTTTGCCCCCCAGAGAAATGAATCTAGCTTCCCCCGCTAATTCTGCTGCTCAGAAGTCGTCTGGGAAGATTGCAAATTGTGATCAGATGATCCTGGGATGTTGCCATCATTGTAAATACATGCCGGTTGCCAAGCACCCAAATTCTGATCATAGGACTATGGGAATGCTTGATGGTTATACAGTAAATATGAGAATCGGTTGTTAGTCGCTTTTTTCAGTGGCTGATGTAATTTTGAATGTTTGCGAAATGAATGGTTGTAAATCAAGGACTACCTATAACAGAAAGAGAAAAACAAGTGTGTTTTTGTGGTAGTTCCTCCCACGGCTGGCTTTTAAGCTAGAAAGGAAGAAGAGACGTGTTATAATAAGTCTCTAATGCCATACAAAAGTCTATTGCTCCCCCCAATTAGGATACAGTAATACTTTTCCATCTGTTTCTCAACAGGTTGGATAAATTTGAGGCTAATGAAATCTGTCACCTAACCTGCATGGCAATGACTTGATTTTTCATACTCATTCATCTGTGCTCATACTTCGCTAAATTTTATCAATAAAAACTTGTTTTTGTAAAAAAAATACCTACAGCATGATAAACTACATCATAGGGATATATCCAGTATGTTGTTGCTTCAGTCTGTCACTGTATTATTATCAATTATTTCAATTTTACACACACACACACACACCAGGGGTGGTATTCACTTACCTTTGCTACCGGTTCGCAAATGTGAGCATGCGCAGGGACTTCCGCGCAGTGGTGGATTGCTCCCGTTTCGGTCCGGTTCTATAGAACCGGTAGTAAAACCAGCGGGATGCTCCGCCCACCCACCACGACGACATCACGGGTGATCTGCGCATGCACAGAAGCGCATGCTCGCATGCAAGCAAAGCACACACGCGTGCATGCTCCCATTCCAAACCGGTAGTAAAGGTAAGTAGAACCCACCCCTGCTTCCGCGCATGTGCAGAGTGTCAAAAATGGGACATGATGATGTCCGGGCAGGTGGGTGGATCCTCCCACAGCTGCCGCTACCAGTTCGCCCAAACCGTATAGAACCGGATGAATACCACCACTCACACACACACACACACGCAGATGATTGATCAATTGATCGAAAGAAATTAGTTCTTATTTTCCAGCTAAGAAATACTGGCCAAGGTTCCAAATGTTCCTAGTTCACAAAATAGATAAGCAGCCTTTGTATCGTGTAACCCTGATTTTTTTTTTCCCCTCACACATACGTAGCTGTATCTGGAAATGACATGCCGAAATTCACAGAGCTTGGCAGATGAAGGGAAGTATCTATAGTAGGTCTCCCGAAGCAATGCCTAAAGGCTTATTCCTAGATCGACACTAGAAACAAGATACTATTCTATGGCTGGAAATAAGATTGCCCTTTTAGAATGAATCAGCTGATTGAAGCAGGCAGGATCGGACCAACCCAGACTGCTGGATCCGTTGGATGCGCAGTGCATGTTTTGACAAACAGCCTTTAGCTTTGGGTGGAGAAACTTTATTTTGCTGTCCCTTCCCATCGTACAGCATCGTAGCAGTAGCAAACCGCATTGGCGGAACTTAATAGATCTCTTTCATTTTGTACCCCTCCGAGAAGGTCCTTTTCTGGACTCTCCATTTGCCAGTATAAAGATCTCTCAAAAGCGGGAGTGAGGAGGGGGGGACACCTCACGTAAAAGCAGGAGGGGGAGACATGCCTAACTTGCATTAGAGAATTCAGAACTATGCTCAGCTCTCCGCATGAAAAGGAGCAAGCTAGGGAAAGCACATTCCAGTCCGTCTGGAAGACCAGCCCATTTTGTACATAGGAAAAGCTGGAGCCTGCTCTTTCTCTCTCCTTAGCAGGGATGGGAGTTTGTCCACCCACAGCATGGAGGAGGGGGGAAATGGGTACTGTGTTAAGAAATAAGCAGACATGACACTGGCAAGTCAACTAGTACAGATTATATACAAGCTAGCCTAACCGTCTACTTGCAGAAGATCATTTAAAACCAGATTATTCACCTATGGAACTGCTGTAGAAGCGGAATTTTTGAGTCTGGAGCCATAGGAAGTGGAACTAAACTGACAAACTGGACTGCAGGCAATCCCTTCTCTTTTTGAAACGCCAGGACAACGTAACAACATAGTTGTGTGGATGAGTTTTGTTGTGCTTTATCTATAACAACTGGAGCAGGTCAGCTCCCTCCACCGTGTTCTTCACTTGCAGAATCTGGAGGTGAAATTCGGAAATGGAGAGCTACATTCCTGAGAACATCCAAGGAGGTCAGCTTAGAAAAAACAGGGAAATTAGCCTGTCCCTCCCGCTTCCTGAGTGTTATTTTTACTGTAGAAAATTGATTTTAATTCCTAGACATTTCCTATTCAGAGTTATACCCATTGGGACTTACAGGCATGCTGTGTAGAGAATCAAAGTATAATGTGTGGACTTGATGGAAAAGAAAAATATTTTCCCCACGCTTGCAGCCATGCATGACACAAACATGTCCTTTTGTGACTTGAAACCATGATTTTATTCTCAACTCATCCTAGCCTGTGAGTGAGAGATCACTGGACAATGGAATAACTAACTACCCAGTTCTAGAATGGAGATTTTCCAGCCCTTAAATTCAATATCTTCTCCATGTGATTATTTATTTGTTCCTGATTATCCTTCCAAAGAAATCCTTCCAATTTAATTTTTTAAGTATATATCCTGACTGTTCCTTGGCCAAACTCTCCAAGAATCGGAGATAAGAAAGATCTGAAAAATACTGTAGATTGTTGCATTTCAGGACGGATATGACCACAAAATAGATCTTCTTACTACGGTACCATTAAGAAGGAAAATCATTTGTTCTTAGTATACAGTATGTTGGGCATCTTTTACAATCTTAGATAATCCAGTCTTTTTAAAAAAGCAAAGATACATTCCTATATGTGTCAAAAGAAAATTTTGCTGTTCATATAAGGATGTGTCCCCCTTCCCTTGTAACTCTGTGCTCACCACGCTGCAACTATGTTTAAAACAATTTTAAAGTACCATAAAACTCCATAAATTGACATTTAGAGGCTTCAATGAGGCTTTTAGTTGTCTGCCATAATAACAATACTCTGAGGAAGAAATTTTTAAATCCTCACTATGGAAACAAAATACTGGAATAGAATAGAGAAATCCAGCAACATTTCATGAGTATAAGACTGGTAAGAACAACAGTTCTCACTTATATAGAGCAACATCTGACAGCTGTGGCTAGGGGGACCTTTGCACAGGCTCGCCTGGTGCACCAATTGCGACCCTACTTGGATCAGGAGGCTCTCCTCACGGTCACTCATGCCCTTGTCACCTCACGGTTAGATTATTGCAATGCGCTCTACATGGGGCTACCCTTGAAAAGTGTTCGGAGACTACAGTTGGTCCAGAACGCAGCCGCGCGAGCTGTCGTGGGTGCACCTAGGTACACCCACATTACACCAATTCTCCACGAGCTGCACTGGCTCCCTATTGGTCTCCAGTCACAATTCAAGGTGTTGGTTATTACCTTTAAAGCCCTACATGGCTCAGGGCCAGGGTATCTTCGAGACCACCTTCTACCACGTAACTCCCAACGACCGGTAAGATCCCACAGAGTTGGTCTCCTCCGGGTCCCATCAGCTAAACAATGCCGGCTGGCGGGCCCGCGGGGGAGGGCCTTCTCTGTGGCTGCCCCAGCTCTTTGGAACCAGTTACCTCCTGAGGTCCGGACCATCCCCACCCTATTGGCCTTCTGAAAAGCGGTGAAGACCTGGCTTTTCCGGCAGGCCTGGGGCCGTTGATCTCGCTCTTGCGATCCGGCAAGATCCGGCCATGAATGGTGTGAATGAGTTTTAATGTTTTTAATTCTTAAATGTTTTTTATAATGATTTTAAATGCATTGTGAGCCGCTCTGAGTCTTCGGAGAGGGGCGGCATACAAATTGAATTAATAAATAATAAATAAATATATAAATTGAATTGCTATATGGTTGTACCACGGCTAAAATTAATATCCATGTTCTGGGGTAGCATTAATCATTACGGACATTACACCGAGAAGTTTATGTTCATGTCTAATTTGTAAACTTCCCAGAAATATCTGGCTGCTATTGAAAGCAAAATGACAGGCTTATTTATCCAGGAAGGTTGGTTGAATTTGTGTGTACTACTAATTGGAGTCTCATCATCGTGTTGCTAAAAGAGCCGTTCCAGACAAGACCATGGCTTTCTTCCAAGCATGTATACCTCACCCTCTTGGTCCATAAATTGCAACTGGAATTGCAGCTGATTTTCCATGCTCTCTGGGTTATTGCACTTTGGGTTATTCCCATCAGGGAATATTGACATGGGGGCTATAAATGAGGAAAAAAAGAGCCTGACTAAGGATAGTCCTCAACAACTGGATCAGAATTTCCATTGCTAAGCGTGGCAGTTGTTAAATGAGTCACGTCTGA